AAATAAAAAACCGGGTTGCCTTCTGATGCTTTATACACTTGCAAGCTCCAAACCGACCACATCGGCCACACTGGTTACATCAACACCGTCACCATCTAACCGACCACATCGGCCACACTGGGTACATCAATACCGTCAAGCTCCAAACCGGCCACATCGGCCACACTGGTTACATCAACACCGTCACCATCTCCCTCTGAGGGGCTGAACGGGGCAGCCTTGCAGATGTTGTTCAGTATATCGAAGTAATCGCCGAGGCCAAAAAGGGCGGCGCTGAAGAAAAACAGAACCAGGAAGAGTCTAGTATGAGAAAATCCTCAACAATATGAGCCTCGTTATGACGCTAGTTCATAATATACCCAGGCACCTTATTCAGGCAGCAGTCCTTGGGGTCACAGCTCCCTTGACCAAGTGTCTCAAGACGGTTTTGGGGTATCTTGACAAGGAGATCTATACCATTGACGGTCCAGGAACATACATTGCCACCATCTGCATTGCAGGTAGGTATGGCAAGTTCCTGACGGGCACTGAGCTTGATACACTCGTGCGTCACCTCGAGCCCTATCTCAAGGTAAGCTTCACCCATGCTGCCACATGTTGGAGACTACTATGGACCCCTGAAAAGGTACAAGACGAGTTGTGTGATCCTCAATTGGTCCCAGCGGAGCGCAGAGACCTTCAGGTGTTTCTGAATGAAGTCGACGGCGCATACGGCAAACCCAGTCTACCCAGTACCATTTGTAGGTTCTGAGAGCCTGTCTACTACCCGCCAATGTGTAAGCTTCAAGTTGACATATATCGGGACTGCAAAGCATAGACGCCAGGTCCAGCGTTGATGAGACGCTTGGTAATTACCTTGGACGTCTTTGGATTTCACAGCAGAGATACATTCACTAGATGAAAATAGAACCATTCTTGGGCCGGATCCTATGCCATATTGCCCAATCTTATGCTTACTACATTATTGAAACAAGGTTCAAGTATATTCAACTACAATTCATCGACACATATTACCTGTAGGGGCCCGTCACTGTCTTCTTTTTGGGAAGTGCTGGTCGGGTCAACCGACGCTCCCACATCTCCAGCTCACGACTCCTCAAAACCCGAAACAAAGATGGTCGGTCATCTCTGATACCAAGTCCCAAGTCATGCAGCTTCTTGACACGACTGTACAAGATCCCCTCCTCGAAAAAGGTGTCGCAGTGCCGGCAGGCTTCTGCTGCACAGTCGTCCCAGGGCTGGAGGCAGACGAGACACTTACCGTCAATGGCGCACTTTGGGCACTTTGGGTGCCTCGCGGCGCGGCGGTCGCCAGTGCGCCCGAGCGAGTGGTCTAGCATGGTGTAAAAACAGTGTCCGCAGCTGTCGTACTTGATCTCATCCACGAGAAGATCGCACCGGGCAGCCTTGAAGGCGGAGATCTTGTTGGAGGACGTAGAGCTCGACATTATTGATGCAAAAGCTCTGGCACTGCTGTTGACCTGGTCTTACCCGGAGATCCTTGTGAGAACTGTGCTGATTGTGTGTTTGAGCATCCCCAAGACCGGCAACATTGCGGGCCAAGTTATACTCATGCGACCTACAAAGCCTATTTGCGGCGGGACAATACGTATTGTCCTAGAGAAAGGACGAACTAAAATTTTCATTGTCCATGATTTTGCCTTTGTTGCTCCATTTTTCATCCAGACCGTCCTTGTTTGGATCATTTGGGATACGACAAAAGAAAATCACAATGAGCATTGGGTACCTAATGAGCAATTGCTACAACTCAGAATATGCCCACGCCGGCGGGTACTTTGTATCCGAGAATGACTATAGTCTGGTCGCATGCATTGCTTTGGAGCGATGTAACCTTTTTCTCCTTGGGCAAGCGCAAAATGTTTAGTCCTTGCACATTCTGGACCGTTATATAGTGGAATCCTCAAGGTTTACAAGCCCAGTCAACCACAAGCAAGAAAGGGCTTCAAAATATGTCAATCTACAAATGATGACCATGCCCGTTGGTCTATTGGAGGCACTGGCGGTGTGCACCAAAATCCAGCAGCATACTGGGTAGCAAGTAGGTATATACGCTCCAAATATTCTCACCCAAGCCAGCCATAACGATTGAGGCCTCCGAATTTTGGGGTATGGCACAATGATTTTACTGGTCGAGTAGCACTGCCGGGCTCATGCCGCCAGTTACACAAGCATGACCCTACCCAAATAGCTACCTACTAACCTAGGCATCTTGGGCATCTATCTTGGTCTTGTTTTTCGGCCCCCGCCTCGGGACTCCAAAAAAGCCACGATAGGAAGCCCGAAGGATTTCCCAGCGTAAGCTGAGGACACACTTACCGCGACGAGTTTCTGTCGTCATTGATATTTTTGTATTAATCTTTCAAAAATTGAGAAATTTCTCAGCGTTTAATGTTGATTGAATGACCATGGCGGTTACTGAATCATACGTGGAGTCTTTCAAACTGAGCGACGCCGAGTCGCGACGCATATTCCTCGAGCAAATCGTCCCCAAGTACCTCGGCCATCTGCAGAGCCCGGACAATGTGGGTCACGAAGATCGGCCACCGCTGGCCGTGTTTATCATCGGACAGCTGGGTGCAGGCAAGACACGCGCAGCACCGACAATTAAGCAAGTGATGCAAGGGCGCCGCGGCGAGCCGGCGCACCTTATTGCCAACAAGTACAAGGAATTCCATTCATCCTGGGAACAGCTGCTGTCCGAAAAGCCCATGCACGCAAGCATGGTGACCAAGGCCGACGACCGCGCCTGGCTGGCCATGGGCGTTGCGCACGCCATGGAGCGCCGCGCCGACGTCCTGGCCGAGATGGCGTGCCGGTTCCCAGAGGACTTTTGCGAGCTCACGCAGACCCTGCACGACGCCGGCTACCGCGTCGAGGTCATGATCCTGGCGGTCCCCGAGGCTCTCAGCTGGATTGGGGTTCTGACGCGCTATAATAATGATCACTTGCGCGAGCGCGAGCAGTCTGACAGGTCTTGGGGATTGCCGCAGCTTCCTCATGATGAAACTTGTGCGAATCTGGTCAATGCAGCTCGGTTCGTCGATGAATCGAGTGCCGTTGACCAGGTGGTCGTGGTACGCCGGGGAAATCTCGTGGCGTACACCAACGAAAAGGTCAATGGCTCGTGGGTAAAGAAGGGCAGTGCCGTCGATGCTCTACTGTTTGAACGAAATTGCGGCATTTTACCGGCAGAGCAAAGGGCGGCAGAGGAGGATATTAAAGAATTGCAGAAAGACGGCAGCACTATACCAAAGTCCAGTATTCCCGAGATTGGACATCTTACTAGTTTCTTTGACATTACTAGTGATGAAAGGCAATTGAGAGACTTGGCGTTGCCAAGGATATCCACCGCGAATGTACGATTTGGGACCCAAGTAGATTTGAGCTTGGGGCTCGATATCCCATGAGGACACCTAGGGAATCATTGTGTATCGAGTATGTTCAGCGGCCGACTCTTAATTTAACGATTTTTAATTAGTGGTATCTCTTTATATGAAATTAACATGGCTTATACACCCTTGGAGAAACTGGTTCCACCCATTTCCTGGTCAAATGCGCTGCACTTTGACAGACCGCACAGCTCAAAGACGTCACGCACGCCACCATCAATTTTGCCGTCGGAGCCGTATCGGTTCTTGATCTCGCCCGTCTCCTTGAGTTCCTTGCAGAACTCGCGGGTGGCAATGTAGACCGAGGTGAGGCCGAGGAGGGGCCAAATGACAATCTTGAAGCCGAGGTCCTGGGCCTCTTTGGCGTTGATGAGGGGCGTGAGACCGCCGCCGACCATGTTGAGGAAGCACGGTGTGGGTGCCATTTCCTTGACGACGCGCGCCATCTGGTCCTTGTCCGTCATGCCCTCGAGGAAGGCCACGTCGGCGCCCGCCTTGACGGCGGCCTTGAGGCGGAAAATGGCCTCGTCAAAGCCTAGCGACTGCAGCGCGTCGGTGCGGGCAATGATGACGATATCCTGGCCCATGCGCTCGCGGGCGTGGGCGGCGGCCCGGATGCGCGCCCCGTACGTGTCGACGTCGACGAGCTCCTTGCCCATCAGGTGACCGCAGCGCTTGGTGGTGATTTGGTCCTCAATGTGGAAACCGGCGACGCCCTGCAGGATGTACTTTTCCGTCGTGCGGGCCACCATGAGCGGGCCACCGAAACCCGTGTCGGCATCGGCGATCACGGGCACGTCCCGGTCCAGTCCAGCAATCATGCCGGCATTGGTGGCCATGTCGTCGACGGTCGTGAGACCCAGGTCCGGTTGTCCCAGACGCGATGCTGCTGTTCCGGCACCAGTCTGTTTTGGTCTTAGTACTGGCCCTTGTGTGTGTGTTATCACGGACGCTACCGAAAACTCACCATGTAAAGGGCATCAAATCCCACGTTCAACGCCATCCGTGCTGTGAGACCATCGTGAACACCGGGAGCGACAACAATCTTTTCTGGGTTGGCAATGAGCTCGCGGAGCTTTGCGGCTCCCTTTGTCTGTGCAGGTGCCATGTTGCTTTTTTCTTTTCCGTGTATTTCTGCGGTTGATATCGTGGATAAAGCGGTTAGGGGGAGTGACGTAGGATGTGGAAGCGTTGGAGCAGGTTTACTTTCGGGTATATGGGGAAGATGTCAGAGGAAGCAAGTGCACAAGAGGAGCATTATATATTTACAGACATAATCATTCCATCTTTGCCTCTCCGGCCTCGGAACGCAACGCATTGAATGTTTTCTGCTCGGGAGGGGCGTCTTGGTCGACAATGCGGACCTAAATCCGCCTCGAACTTCTACGCAAGTGGAGACAATATGGATTTGTTATTCCCACCTTAGCACCGATGATTTTTCTCGGAGTTTCGGTATTTGTCAGATGCTTATTGGTAGTAATCATGCCGGCAATGGTAATTTCTCCAGTGATTTTCCAAGATGATCGAGCCTAAACTATCATTGTTTGCCCTCATTTTGTGCCTAGGTACAATGGCCTGGTGGATTGGAACTGGAGGACTTGCAAGTGACCTCACAGCACCCTTCATCGCAAGATCTGTAGTGGGGTAACGCCCGGACAGGCAAAACAGCTAAGCGGAAAACATGTGGCATGTGGGGAGCCTCGGGCGCTGGCTGCCGATGGCATCTGCAGCCCATTTGCGGGGAACATCCCGACGGGAAGGATGGAAACTTTTAGGATCTCGGGGGAGGGCCAAGGCCTGGGACCGGGACCCATTCTAGAATCAAGGTCATGGCTGTACCGTGGCCGGTATGTGCAACTCTGCGCCTTTTGAGCTCGATGGAGACGCCTACTGAAGAAAGTTCAACTCAAAGCAATCTCCTCATCCAGAGTCGACCTTTTTTCCCAGATCAATGGCTCTGGTATTTAGGTCAACAACTCGACCACCTTTGCGCGATAAAGTTGCTCAATCGTGTACGGCTGTTTGGTCACCAAATCCATGCAGCGCAATGTACTTACGACGAAACTAGGTAGAAACCACCACTCCGGTCATGTCTTGTCGAGACTGATTGCATGCTCCCGTTGAGAACCGTCTAGGGAGGGGAGCGCCTGGCTCTCATCCAGATTGTTGATTGCTGGCAGGTTGATGGACTTGTCAGAGGGCGCTTAAGCGACCCATATATGGCTAGTGGCAAGCGTTGTCCATCATTTCAACCAAGATAGACTAGGTAGTCAAGGGCAATGGCAGTATCTATTTGTGTGATAATCAGTGCGTAGGAGCATAATCTCTACACTTTTCATGACTGCAATTCAATGTCCAAGCCATAGATATGTCGTGGATTCTCCTTGTTCTTGCCATTTGGGCGCAATTGTGCAGAGGCTCCTTGGATCAAGCGGCACGCGGTGTCGTGCAACCTGAAGAACCATATCGCAAATACTCGTCAACGATAGATCCCTCATTGTCTATCCGCTTTCGGAGCGCGCAGGTCTGCGATGGGCAAGCTCCTACCTACAATGGTTGGATAGATATTGGCCATAAACATTTATTTTTCTGTAAGCCTTCCCAATCTGCTCTTCTGTTTATAGGGGAGCAATGCGATTTGCCAGTTTTGACTAGCTCATATTGGTAGCCTACCAGAGTTTAGTTCCAGATAGTCTGGCCTCTGCCCCCGTGATTCTTTGGACCTCGGGCTGTCCGTGTCAGTCATCACTTCTCGGAGCCATGCTGGAGACTGGAAGCTGTTTGGCGAGCAATGACGGGCAGTCAGCAACAATGAACCCGTTTACTTGGGCGCAAGCCGCACACATGATATATCTGGACGAGTCTGTCGACGTTGGCTTTTCCTATGCAGACGACGGGTATAGTCCTGGTAATCACACAGACGATCTTGGCGGTACCGCGCGAGACATTATATCAGCCCTCCAATTGTTATACTTGGCCTTTCCACACATTTTAGGACGCAAACTCCACCTTGCAGGCCAGTCTTTTGCGGGACGCTCTTTACCTGCCATCGCCGAATCGATTATAGAGCACAACACCAAATCCGACGCTGCAGCTTTGATTCCTCTTGAGTCTATCATCGTTGGGAACGGCGTCATCCACAGTCCATCGCAGCTTCCTGCAATCCGCGATACGGTCTGTGCGGCTTCCAATGGGCTCCCGGCACTGTTCAGTCGGGCAGACTGCGATTCGCGGCTCGCTTCACTGTCTTCTGACTGTGCAGCATCGCAGCAAGCTTGCCTCGATGGTCGCGATCCTGAAGGACCTATGTGCTCTACAGCTGCTCTGACGTGTGAGAATGGAATCTTGAGCGCCGCGTTGTACGGTCGGCATGACTCGACAAATCGGTCCCCGCGCTGTTTTCATGACGATGAGTATACTCGAGCGGATGATTGTGGTATAAGCCGGGTTCTTGCACTGCACAGTTTCATTTCTGCATATGGAGGCGACGAGCTACTCATCGGTCGACAGGCAGCACGCCAGCATGTCTACAAGGGTGTAGTAACACCTCCCAGTGTTCCATTACTCAGGGAGACGGGTTCGGGTATAAAAGACATTCAACGGCTTTTGCATCAAAACGTAAGCACCCTTCTGTACTACGGCGCATACGACATCTTAGCCGCACCCGCGTTTGCAGAGAGGGCCCTGGACGTTTCTCTGGACGGACATGTAGGAGAAGAATGGCGTGCAAGCATACCAAGGGACGCCGCAGAGCTTGGCTTGGGCTTCAAAGGCTCCGTGAAGAGCGCATCATCCTCAAGCGGCAAAGGTATTATATGGTTTGTACAAGTAGATAACGTGGGGAGATTAGTACCATCGCAGTCCCCGAACGGGGCCTTGAGACTTGCGCAGACTTGGCTGCACCAATTTGGAGCTGCCGTTGAATCGGAGTCACACAAGATCATCGAGAATGAGTTATAGCCATTAAGGAAGGAATCATGGTTGCCTTTCGAAAGATATGAAAACCACTAGACCTTCAGCTTCCTTTATATTACTTGTTCTTCAGCCGCATCGAATACACCTCTGCGTTTGTACTAATCCAGATTGATTGTATCATAGTCACTGCAAACAAGTTTTGAAAGCATTTAAGCTTATGCAGATCGTGTGCCTGCAGCCTTCCCAGTATGGAAAGGGGGCGCTTTCGAGGACCATATTTGGGAAACGTTGTTATGATATAGTCCCGCGATGCTCCACCTTGATCCCAAATTAGAAATTTTGGTATCCGATCTCTGTATTTATCTTTTTGTGTTTTCAAATTTTCTTGATATACGAGCTTATATCTCTGGTTCCAGCTTGTTGTCGATCGAGAGCCTTTAGTGAGATTTAGTTTCTTCAATACGTCGTACAAATCCTGACCTGCTTCGTCAACCTGACTCACAATGTCTGGCATTGATTATACTTCACCACTTAACGACTTGCTAAGTCCTTACAACCGACCGGCACCCCGAGTCATCTTGTTCAAAGAAGCAAACATTGTCGATGTTGAAAAGGGTCAAGTGATATCTGGTCGGGACGTCCTTCTTCACGGAGGACAAATTGTGTCCATCGAGGGCCCCATGCCTCCCGACATTGCAGCAGAGGCTGTGATGGTAGATTCTAGCAACTTCTATCTCTGCCCTCGATTAATCGATTGCCACTGCCATCTAAATTTGCCTCCGGGTCCTCCAAACCTCACCGGAATCGTTCAAGCTTCGCGGGCTGAAGTTGCCATTCGCCAGCCGCTGTTATGTCGAGACATCTTGAACCGTGGGTTCACGACAATCCGTGACCCTGCTGGATCATCCCTAGCAATCAAGCAAGCTATAGCAGACGGGGTAATAGCCGGTCCGCGGGTGTTTTTCGCCGGCATGGCGCTCTCTCAGACGGGAGGCCATGGCGATATGCGCACAAGTCACACAGCGGCCGAGTCGGGAGACTGCTGTGGCGGTCAAATTTTTGCCAATGTCGCGCGCGTCGTCGATGGCGTTCCCCAGTGCCTGCGGTGGGCGCGCGAAGAGCTACGATGTGGTGCCGACTTTCTCAAGATCATGGCCGGTGGGGGCGTCGCTAGTCCGACCGATCACATTGACCATACGCAATTCACGGCCGCAGAGATTGAGGCCATCACCACGGTTGCCAAAAATGCCGGTACCTATGTGACCGCGCACGCTTACACGCCAGAAGCAATACGGCTGGCTGTCGACAATGGCGTCATGGGTATCGAGCACGGCAATTTGATTGATGAGGCCACCGCTCAGTATATGGCAGAGCGAGGAGTATATCTCACTCCAACGCTAGCCACATACGCCGAGATGGCTAGTGACAAGTGGGCTGGGTTTCTCCCACCTTCTCTGATGCCAAAGAATGAAATTGTCTTGAGAAGTGGTCTCGAATCACTCAGAATCGCGTCCAAATCAGGTGTAGTACTGTGCTACGGGACCGACCTTATTGGCCCCCTACACATAGCCCAGGCTAGAGGTTTGCGTCTCTTCTCCAAGGTACTTGGTCCAGTAGAAACGCTCCGGACGGCTACCATCAACGCAGCCAAGCTGCTCAGAAAGGAAAATATGCTCGGGCAAATCAAACCGAATTTTGCGGCGGACTTGCTTGTGCTGAACGCGAATCCCTTCGAAAACATTACGATATTCGAAAGGCCGAAAGAGCACCTGCTTGCCGTCATCAAAGACGGCAGAGTGGAGTCAAGCAGATTGCATGCCCTGGCGAAAGAGCAATTTTAGAAGTGGAAAATTAATAAATGTTACTAGATCAAATTTTGTTACGGTTTCGATTAATGGCCCTGACATGTCTGTATTTTCGTACCGAGGCTATAGTATATATACCTGGTCGATATCCCCTCATACTCAAGTAATTCAAAGTTCCTGAACCACAAACTTGCTTCTGCTTGCAGCAGCTTCGCTAGAGTGGCTACTGGATTCGGATCTGGTCAAAGGGACGCCAGTCTCTAGATATCTCAACCAATCTTTCACCATTTGTAGTGCCATTACTGGTTGATCGAGCGGAACCTGGAAGTTTGCATAAGCATTATGGAGATGGGGTGGATCAAAACACTATAGGGCTAACTCACCAAATGACCAGCTTCCTCCAACTCCATTAGTGTCAATGACTTGGCGCTCTTGACACGGCCACCCGGGCCGTTGGCTGCCGTTTTGTATGGGAGGTCTGCCCACGGAACAGCATGAAATTCGACACTCCCCGGCCACTGGAGACCTTCCAACGTCTGCTGGACGCCAAGGGGGCTGCAAACAATATCCGCCACGCCAACGTAGTAGAGAACATCTACAGGGCGTTCAGTGGAGCTTGGGCGATAGTTCAATATGTTCTCCAATTCCAGGACTGAAGGGAAATGATAGTCGCCAGCGGCCATGTACCTGTTTGCCGTAGGCACGTCCAAAAGCGACCAGGACGACTTCAACCCGCCTGTCTGAGTCTGGAGCTCGAGCGATTTGTGGACCTTGGGCGAGTTGAGATAATTAATTAATGGAGGCATTTTACCAAAACAAGTTTCACCGTCATTGCAATTCCGTAGTCGCCGGTCAAAAGCACTGCGAGTAGTATTGTTCTCGACAACGTCGGCGAACTGGTCTTTGCAGATTGAGTTCGTGCTTACGCACATATCAGTGTCTCGTGTAGCGGCACAAGTCTTCAGAGCTGTCCTGCATTTATCGACCAGTGGCAAAAGATATTCGCATACGGATTCGTCGAGGTGTGGAGGATAGCCGCGGTAGTCGTAGCAGGCGACATCGTACCAGGCGGGAAGCACGTCTTTAGGACTTGTCCATCCATTTCCAATCATAAGAGATCTTAGAGGAATACGGTGACCGTCATCAGGAACCCACTCGTTGAACTTTAAGATCTCGGCGCCAAAGAGTGGGATAAAACGCCCGGCGTATGATTCACCAGAGATATGAAGGTCCTGGAGTTGCAGCTTGGGAAAGGCCTCGTAAAATAAATTGAGGAAGCTTAGTAGGTGCAGGGTTGACTCTTCAGTACGGTTGGGATAAAACGCCTCGTCGTTTCCGTCGACATATGAAAGCCCGACTCCTACAGGTTGGTCCACGTATACCACATTGAAGGCCTCGGTCCAGGCATGGGGGTTGAACGCGGTGGAATCATTCGTGTCCATGAGGCATGGCCCATGCTCGAGAAACATGCCGGCTAAAGCGCTTCCACCAGGCCCTCCCTGAACCCAGAGGAGCAACGGGGCATTCTCAATGCCGGCTCGAGCTTCATGGAACCCTGGGGTCGTAAGCACAAGCCTTCCTGATCCAGCACAGCAACGGGCGACACCTACAGAAGAATGTATGCTTGTTGACTACGTCAACCCAACCGGTATGGTGTCGGCTGCCTCCATCGCAAAGAGATTTGTCGTCGGCAGACCAGCTCTTTACGCGGATAGTGCTGTTGCTGTAGGCGGACTGAACAACATTGTAGCCAGCAGATGCGTACTGGCCACAAGCTAAGAACAAGAGCACTGCGGTGCAGCGCATGGTGCAGATACGCTTTCAAGTTGCCGTGTTCAACAGACAAACAAAGACGAGATTGAAGCCGAAAAACATATCGCCAAAAAACATGTCGCTAAACAAGAGCCCATGAGATTTATGGTATTGAGAAAATGCCTGGCCCAAGCCCTTGTCGCAGTGAGGATCTTAGTTGGTGGATAGCATTACCCTATGTGGGATCAGCCGGGGGGTGGGGCATACATTACCTACCAGCCTCTATATGATGCACTAACTTAGGTTGGTAGTAGATACCTGTAGCGAGCGAACCGCCGCCCGCATGGCTAGCCGAGGCCCTAAAGCATAAGGTACTAAGGCATTTCGCTCCCGTCGCAATGACTTTGCTCGCCAACTTCATCATCAACAGACACATGGGCGACATATAATCCGCTCCGCCTTTCAGAGGTCAACAAACCGAGGTAGTTCGATCAAGCTCTTTGCCGAAAGCTCATAAAGAGTTCACAGCCTTTGAAGCACTAGAAGCTGAGATTTCAAGTCTAAAGACCGACCACTCAGTCCTTGCTAGGAGGGAGTCGCCAAATGACCTGTGCGAAGATATCATGGCAGACTTTCTCCCGTCGCGCCGTGCTCAGGCAAACCTAGGAAAGGCGCCTGCCTGGAGCTTGATGCAGCGCGTGAACCAGATTCCTCCATATGACCCGAAGACTCAACCAGACGGCCTCATCAATCTATCGGGTGCATTAAACAACTTGATGCAGGGTTGGTGGGATGAGTACTTTGCAAAAAGTCCTATCGATTTCGACTTGTCTCAGAGTATGCACAAAGAACCTTTCCAAGACTAGGTGCCCTTTCCTCTGTACGAGCTGTTCCAAACTGCTAATAATCAATGGCATCAATAGTCCTACCGTATGGTTCCATATCAGGCACAGATGAACTACTCTCGACAGCGGCAGGCTTCTTCAACCGTTTCTTCCGCCCCAGCGTTCCTCTTGAAGCTAATAACATCCTTGCGGCGAATGGAATCACATCGTTGATCGACCTAGTATCGTGGACCCTGTGTGATCCCGGAGAGGCCATTCTGTACCCGACCCCAACCTTTTACATGCTCGATTTTGACCTTGGTGCTCGAAACAATGTCACCACCGTCCCGGTACCCTGCAGTTTTATGGAGGATCGATTCAGCGAGGAGGTAGCACCCAAGCTACTCTCATTGCTCGAGAAGACAGTAGCGGCCCAGTTGGCAAAGGGGGTGCGGTGCAAAGTGCTTTTCATCTGTAATCCAGCCAATCCACAAGGGAGATGCTACTCTGCAGCAACATTGGCTAGCCTAGCTAGATTCTGCAGGAGTCACGGCATGCATCTTGTTGCAGATGAGGTGTATTCAATGTCCCAATACTCATCAGGTCTTGGCTCGTTGGACCAGTTCTCCTCCGTCCTTGGCATCCCCGAAGAAAGGCCGGGTAGTCTCTCTCACGTGCACTGCCTGTATAGCCTAAGTAAGGATTTCAACATGGGTGGTTTGCGTTTAGGGTTCCTTGTGACCCGTAACGCAGAAATAAGAGCAGCAGCCGACACAGTAACGTACGAAAAGCCCCAAAGACAACTCTTGCTACTTGGGCACTAACTCGAGACGCAGATGGTTCACCTGGATCAGCAGCTTTTCAGCCCTGCTTGTTACGCAGCTCCTTGGCGATCTTGATACCATCAGTGGATACTTCTCCGTCTACCGCAAACGACTTGAGCTGGAATACTGGCGCACGTCGGAGGCTTTGACGCGATGTGGTATCCCGTATCAAGCCTCAAACTCTGGTCTTTTCATCTTCATCGATTTGTCGCAATGGGTGGGATACTTTAGCAAAGATAAAAATGGGAGTAGGGAGTTGAATCTGTGTTATTATCTCATCGAACATGGGGTGTGTCTCAATCCTGGAGAGGTAAGGGAGAAACAACTACGTCATGTTTAAAACTGTGAACTATCTGAGGCTGACTTTTGATGGCAGTATGCGGGATCTGACCGACCAGGATGGTTCCGATTCGTCTTCACGGAGATGCCAGAGGCAAATGTGCTAGCGATAGAGCGCATAAGGAAAGCAATTGACCTGCTGCCCAAGATGTCCTCTCAGAGATTGGAAAATGGGCGAACCAGTATTGACACTGCCACAACTTTGCAAGGAGAGTCTGCTCAGCTTGAAACTGCCAAAATGGAAGGAGTGGCTCCAAGCAATTGGTCAAAAATACGAAAGTCGTTCCCAATACCTAGTTGCTTCCGGGGCGAGTAGTTGCTTTGCGCCTTCTGTATGACAGTTTCAGCAGCAGTTGGAAGATAAATTCTGAGACAGTGGCACAATGAAGTTGAATTGGTTCATGACATTCCTGGTTCTCTACCTTCGGCGCAGACAGGGTCTCAGGTGTAGCTGGGCTTCTTGAGTGCTCTTTTGTAATATCTAGTCATCTCATATCGGCACATAGCAAAACGTGGGAGGTGCGTACACGTAAACGCATGTCGTATCTGGCCACTGCGCCAGGAGTCCAAAATGTGAAGCTCGAGACTGGTAGCCAGGCTAATGGTGTGGATGTGGCAGATACCGCGAAGTAACGCAAATACTAAGAGCTCTCCACCTATACGGTTGCTTCAAGAGCAAACTGGTGGAAAACATTTCATTGCGTAGCGAATAACCTAAGTCACTTATAAAAACAATAAAAAAGAGAATAAAAAAGAGAATAAAAAAGAGAATAAAAAAGAGAATAAAAAAGAGAATAAAAAAGAGAATAAAAAGAGAATAAAAAAGAGAATAAAAAAGAGAATAAAAAAGAGAATAAAAAAGAGAATAAAAAAGAGAACAAAACAAAGACCGGTTCGCCCTCTGGTGCTCTATACACCTGCAAGCTCCAAACCGACCACATCGGCCACACTGGCTACATCAACACCGTCACAAGCCCCCCAACCCATCAAGAGGTGGACGGGTCTCACGCCGCTAAGCCGGCGCAATCGATTACCACAATAGGACTCCAATACCGCCTCGACTGGGAGTGGGGGCCGGTGCTAAGTGTTGATCAAGGTGGTGCTTTCCTATTGGAGTTTAAACTGGTCTAATATAGGTGTTAATTATATAATATATTAATCTATATTTTGCGCCTTTTAGTTTTAATAAAATATACGCTTATTTAGGTGGCCCTGGCTAATCCCCGGGAAATCCCGTATATCTATCTAGATACTATAGTGTTAATCCGTATACTTAAATATATACTAATATATAAAAACCATAATTTATTATTTAATACACCCCTTTAAATCCACGATTTATTATAAATCTAGCTATATTTAAATTAAAATTGCTAATTAGCAAAATATAGCTTTTTTTAAAGCTATTTATTTTAATTATAATAAGTAATTTTAAATTTTATTTATTATAAAAAATCCTGCTATTTTCCTATTAGTAAACTTTTCGTTAATTTATTTATTATTATTTTATTTAAAAGTTTATAAATAATTTTAACCTTTTTTTTTTAGGCTTTTTATCGTAATTAATAATTATAAATATTTATATAACGAAGCTTTATTTTTAATAACGCGATTTCGGCGTTGATTAAATTAATAATCTGCTTATTATTATATTTAATAATAATAATATTATTATTTAATTATATCGATAATTCCTTTAATAATCGGCTAACGAATAATATTTTTTTAATAGCTTACGCTAAGGCAAATAATTTAGTTTTTATAATAAAAATAATAATTATATTTTATTTATTTAATCGCTAATTAATTAATTTTCTAAATAGCTTTATAGCGAATATTTAAATATTTTTATAATTAATATTATTATCGGCAAATAATACGTTATTAGCAATTATTAAATTAAAAAATCCTCCGATTTTAAGCGAAAATTTTTTAATATTAATTAAATAAATTAAAATTCGATTAATAGCTTTTTAATATATTTAGCTTAAATTATTAAAAAATTAAATTAATTTAGCTATTACGAATATAATATTTAATTTCGTAAATATAACCGCGAATAATAATAATCTAATTTTTTTTTAATATTTCTATATTTTGTAAAAAAACGCTATAATTAATTAAAATATAAATTTTTTATAACCTATTAGCGTTATATAAATTTTTTATTTATTTATAAATTTAGCGATTTTTTTTAAAATAAGCCTTCTAAAAAAGCCAAATTATTCTAAATATATAATTTCTAATTATTTCTATCCTAAAAAACCATTATATTAGCTCGCTATTATTAATTTTATATTTTTTTATAAAATGCTATATTAAATAATTAATAGCCTTTTTATTTTTATTCCTATATACGATAATTATATCGTTAATATAAAAAAAATTAGCACTTTTTTCTTAATAAATACGCAAAACTTATATAATATCTAAATATAACCGATTTCGGCTAAGGTTTTTATAAACTTTTTTTATTATAATAATGGTAATATCCGTAATTTATAAAATGCTTTATTTAATAATAATATAGCGTTTTTTTTTTCGATATTTATCCGGCATTTTTATAAATATATTTTAATTAATAAAAGCGTATATAAACGCGTTTATTATATTATATTATATTAATTTAAAATTAAATTTCGCTATAATCGCGATTAAAATACAAAATAATGTTTTAGCTAATATAGCCGTATAAATTTTCTAATTCTAAAACTTCGCCTATTAATTACCGCGAACGACAAATCTTATTTTGCATTTTTAAAATTTCCCGTATTTATCGAACTTATATATATATATTTATATATAATTAAAAATCTATTTACTTTTTATTCGTAAATCTTTTTTATTAATCTCGGTTTAAAATCGTATATTTTTATAATTTTATAAATAATTAGCTTTTATTTAAAAAAATAATCTACTAAACGGATAATAATATAATTTATAATATTATTTAAAGGAAGCTAGGATTTCCGCTTTATAAATTTTTACCTTTTAACGAAAAAAGCGTTTTAGCTTTACCCTATTGTTTTAATTATTACCTTATTTTATTTTAAAAACGGCTTTATAACCAATTAAAAAAGCTGCTTATTATAGGATTATTTTAAATCCTTTTTTTAATAACGCCGTATTTTTAATCGTAATTGCCTTTATATTATATATTAATAAGGCTAATAAAAATATTTATAATAAAATCCAAAAGGCAAATTTCGCGATAATAAAAAAATATTATTTATCCCTTTTATTTAACGCTGCTTTTTTATTTTTTTAATTATTATTTTTTTTTTAATTATTTTAATTATCGCTTAATAAAATATTTTTTACGGCGGTTTTTTTACTTTTTAATTCCTATAAAATCTCGTTTTTAAATATTACGTAATTAATTATAAAATCGGCGATAAATTAAATATTAGTATTTAAAAGCTCGTTTTTAAATATATTTTATTTTCCGTCGCATAATTTTTTTTCGTTTATAATTATATTTTTCGTATTAATTAATTTATTCCGATTAAAAATCTAAATCCTATAAATATTAAATAACCTATATTCGATTAAATATCTTATTTATACCTTAAATATTAATCGCTATAAACGGCCGAATTTTTATTATATTATTAGTATTATTACGTATACTTTATATCCGAATACTTTAAAATAAATTTAATTAAGCTTATAATTCGGATTTAAAACTCCTTTTATTTTCGCAATTATTTTATAAAATTTTATATATAATATACGCTATCGGGAATTATAATTCGGCGTGCGATTATATAAATATACCGCGGTTTTGCCGATTTCGGGCTAAAATTAATAAAAGAATTTTACGCTAATACGTATTACCCGTTTTTTTTTAATTATACCCCCTAAACGTTTAATAACTTTATTTTAAGCTTATATATATAATACTAAAGGCTCGAATTTAATATATTTATTTTCGAAATATCTTTTTATTACCTATTTAACTTTTATAATTTTATTATCGCATTCGATAATTTTAATTTTAATATTATATTAAGTTTTTATTATACCTAAAAACGATCGGAAAACGTTAATTAATATAACCGTAATTTTTTCCGTAAAATAATAATCCTATATATATTTTATTTATTAATAAATAATTAGTATTTAAAATATATAATTTTTAATCCTTTTAATATAATTATAAAAATTTATAGCTAATCGTTCGCTATAATCTTCGTTAATTAGCCGTAGCGTTCGCCGTAATTAACGCGTAATTTTTACAAATATATAGGCTTTATATTTTATTATAATTAATCTTTTAATTTTTACCTTTTAAAATAAATAAATAAAATATTCGAAAATTACCGGGCTTAAATATCCTATTTTATAATATTATTATATAGCTTCCCTAATTAATAATAGCCTTTTTATTTATATTATATATTTTTTCCGGTAAATAGCAAATAACGCCAAAAATAATTCGTAAAATTTATATTTAAAAACGTATTATCCGTATCGGTTTTAAAATATACTAATTAAAAATCCATTTTTTTTATATAATATTATAAAGTCGTTTTTATTATCCTAATAATATCCTTATCCTTATAATTAACGGAATAATATTAATATAATTAGCAGCCTAAAATAATAAGCTATATTATTTAATAATAATATTTTAAATTTAAATTATATAATTATTATATTATACCCGTAAATAAATAATTTCCGGTCGCTTAATTAAATAAAATTGTAATTAAAAGCTTATTTATAATTAATAAGCTTTATTTTTATATTTATAATTAAAATTATTATTGCTAAATTTAAAATAATTAAATAGCGCAAAAAATAATTTTTTATAAATATTATAAAATTATTTTATATATTTATTACTAATCGTTCGTTTTATTAATTTATATTAATCGGAAGCGATTTTTCCTTAATTATTCGTAATATGCTAATTCGGCTAATTTTAATTTTTTTTATATTATAAACCTGCTTTTATAAATTAAAATCTTTTTTAAAAGCTTTATTTATTCGTGCTTATATTTTATTTTTAAAAATAAAACCTAAATAGGCTTTTTTTAAAAATACGTAAAAATATAAATTAAAAGTATAAAAAAAATAGCAAGCAAAATATCTAATATTCTTTTATTTTTTATTATAAATAATTCGTTTATTTTTTTTTATATAAATTAGCCGTATTTAATCGGGAAAATATCTAATTTTTAATAAAATAAGCGTTTTTATTTTATCCGTTTTAAAGCTATTTATTAATTTTATTAGCATAAATTATAAAAGCGCCTTTTTTAACTTTTAGCCTAATCGGCTATTAAATATTTAAGTTTTTATAAAAATCGTTATTTATTACCCGATATTTTAAATTTTTATTTAAAATATTTTATTTTTTATAAATTTAATAAAAAACGGCTTATTATAGCATAATTAAAATAACGGTATTTAAAAAATTTATAATTTAAACCGAATTATTTTATATTTTAATTATTTGTTTTACCTAGGCTTTCGCTATAATTATTTTCTATTTATTAATTTAATTTATAGCTTTTTTTAATATTTTTAAAGGCTTAAAAGCTTTTAAATATTATTTCCTTATTTTTTTTTTATTATTTATAGCTAATTTACTATAATAAACCTTTAAATTCTTGTATTATTTATATAAAAATTCGTTAATTAAATAATATATAAAAAAGAAATTTAAAAAAATCGTAATAATTATCCATTTTATAATTTTTTTAATCGCTATATATTATTTAGCGTATATAGCCTTTTTTATTTTATAATAATTATAATCGAAATTAAACGATTTTTAACCTCTTTTAATAAAATCCGTTATTATTTATTTTTTATTTTTTTTATTTTAAATATTCGGATCGTTATTTTCGTTTATAACTTCGAAAATCGCTACCGCGGTTTTTATATATTTAGTTTTTTTTATATCCGGTTCGATTAAGGTTTTAATTAAAATTATTTTATTTTTAAAGTAATTAATTAATCCGGTAATTTATACCTAAATCTAAAACGTATATTTTTAATTATTTTAATCGGAGGTTATTTTTAACGATACCGTTAGGCCGATTCCGGCTTTTTTCGTAATTATTATTTTCGTAGCTTCGGCGGAGGCACTAAAACTTTTAATTATTAATTAAAATAATACTTTCCTATTAAAATTTAAACTAATCTAATATAAATATTAATTATATAATATATTAATTTATATTTTACGCCTTTTAATTTTAATAAAATATACGCTTATTTAGGTGGCCCCGGCTAATCCCCGGAAAGTCCTATATATTTATCTAGATATTATAGTATTGATCCGTATGCTCAAACACACGCCAGTATATGGGAACCATAGTCCACTATTTGACACTAAGCTAATCATCTAGGTTAGGTAATCCCTGTCGCCAAGCAGAAGATAAGCCCAGTGGGTTGGTCTTGATGGTTTTAGGTCTATACTCCGCATTTCGATGCTTTTTATGAATTATGTAAAGTCTCGCGGCAAGCATATACTCGTGTTTTACAGCCCAGGTGTGAGCTCCATCAAAGCATCCAACCTTGGTTCTCTGTGACAACATAGAGTCTTCAACCATATGGCGGACATTCCTAGATACAATGCTGGCGCGTCAAGCCATGGCGTAAAGCCCACCGACGTGAAATTGGGCCATGCGCTTGACGGTTCTGACCCCGATGTGGAGAGGGCGCATTCCGAAGAAGTCCGGGCCCAGGCCGTGACTACATCGCGAATGCAGAAAATACTCCTGTTCTCTGCGTAAGACGTGTCGTTTTTTTCCCACGAGATTGGCATTGGGATGACTGCTAATGATTCAGCAGACTCGGACTCGTTTCGTTTGTTGTGTGAGTCTATTTTTCTTCCCATACAGGGATCATATTCATTGCCGAAATGACACAGCTAACCAAAAGCAGTTTCCTAGACAACAGTACATCAGCTACATACCAACAATACGCGGCGTCTGAATTCAATGGATACTCGCTGTACGGTACCCTCTCCGCATCCTCGATAATAGTCTGCCTGGTGGTCCAGACACCTCTGACCAAGATGAGCGATATTTTGGGGTTGGGGTGGCCGTTTGCCATGTGCACACTGTGCATCACAATCGCCTACGCCGTGCTTGCTGCATCAAGGTCCATCGGTATGCTGGCTGCTGGCTTGGTCTTGAGCTCGGTGGGCACATTTGGCTTGCTCGTACTGGGACAACTTGTCATGTCCCACTACACGAGCACCAGATCCCGAACTCTGGGCATCGCCATGTTCTATCTTCCCAACATAATTACGCCGTTCATCTCGTCTCAACTTGCCGAGCGTGTTTTGACCGACCTCACCTGGCGATGGGGCTTTGGTATTTTCGACATTCTATACCCCACGTCCGGGGTTTGCTTGATAGCCACTCTGTTCTACCTGGAGCACAGGAAAAGGAGCTCTCAAGCTGGGACACATAAAACCTTGGGGCTTGTTGAATTTCTCTCTCAGATTGACATTGTTGGCAATGTGCTCATCATTGCTGGCTTTGGCCTTACGCTTTTGCCCATCACTCTGGCTGGCACGGGGCTCGCCACATTCCAAACACACTTCATCATTGCCATGCTTGTGGTCGGTGGCATCTCCCTACTTGCTCTGTTTGGATGGGAAAACTGGATCGCGGCCCATCCTATTCTAGCACCATCATTTTTCCGCAATAAGACGATTGCTCTTGTTGCCGTGATCGGTGCTCTGGATTATTTTGCCGTCAATATATCTCACACCTACTTGTATTCTTGGGGTATAACAGCGCGGAACATGGACATTAGCCAGGCGAACCTTCTTCTCTTCCTGCAAAATGTCGTTCAATGTGGCACCATGATAATTGTTGGTCTGGTCGTCTTTAAAATCAAGCAATACAAGTGGATTGTTGTCGGCGGATGCATCATTCGGACGATCGGCTACGGCGTCATGGTACGGCTACGTGGTGCTGATAATAGTCTTGGCGAGATTTTCGGTGTCCAAGTCATTCAAGGAGTCGGCTCTGGAGTCATGGAAGCGCTTCTTCTTCCCGCCGTCCAGTTTGTGGTTCCGCGATCTCAACTAGGACAAGTGACTGGTGTAGTGCAGCTTTTCCGCTTCACCGGGGCAGCCATTGGTATTACCGTCGCCGGCGCCATATACAACAATGTTTTTGAGTCGGCCTTGTGGAAGTATATGCCCGCAGGCACAAACGAGGCTTATGTGGAAGGAATCTACAGCTCTCTCCTGGGTGTGGTTCCAGAATGGGGCACTGCTGAGCGCTTAGCCATTAGTGAGGCGGTAAGTATTCGGTGCATATTCCTGTCATGGGAGATTGATCACTAATGTTGGTTTACATCTAGTACGGCGATGTCATGAGGTACATGGTGATTGCTGCAGTGGCAACCTCGCTGCCAATGTTTGCACTTTGCTTCCTCTTACCCAATACCAAGCTCTCGTGAGTCGATCTCATTCGAATAAACTCTGGTTAATGCTGATAATCGATACGTAGCGATGAGCGTATTCTTGTAGTGGCGGAGGAAACACATGAGGAGAAATCAGGAACCATCCCTTTGTGAATGCCATCTCCCAGATATCACCGGAAGGCAGTAAAGGGAGATGAGTCAAGGATCTCAGCGACTATATGTAGTATGTGTTAAGCTTATGTGCAATGGATTGTTACCACTATGTTCATATCGCTTTGCCTCGCTCGATAGTAAATGATTCCTCTATATGAATTCTTTCTCTAGTTCTACGTGGAATACTCTCTGCTAAGATCTTGAGATTGCGGTGCACTCAATCTCCACTAATGCACTGAACGGCAATTCTTTCACGGCAACACAGGTGCGACACTGTTTCAACATAATCAGCCCATTACAAATCCAAAAATGCATCAAGAGACTCTGAAAACGTCGTTGGACTTTATAGCCAACCTTACTTTTCGGTGGCAGGTATCAGTCAATTGCTTACAGGTTTATAATCCGCGGTAAAGACCTCGTCCCATGCTTCATTCATTGCCGCGAAATTCGACATTTCAGTCAAGAATATGTTGACTTTGAGCACCTCCCTCCAGTCGCTTTGGGATGCCTCTAGGATACTGGCTATATTGCGAAGTGCTTGTCGCTGTGACCGCGTCACACGATCAGTGGGAGAAAGAAAAAGCGGAAGAGAGTAAAAGAGAAAAGAAAATAGTGAGAGAGAAAAGAAAAAGGGAAAAGGATATATACTTACCGTCTGCTCTTTTACTCCGCCGTCCACCAGCTTCCAGGTCACGGCGTCAAGGCCAATATTCCCAGAGATGTAGATGATGCCGTTGTATACCACAGCCTGAGAGAACTGTGGGAGTGGTTTGGGTGCTTTGTCCGCGAAGACTACCGTGGCAGACATGATTACCAAAGGGGGTTGTAGTTGGTTCCTTGTAGATAGAAAAAGTTCTTGCGAATCTTGGACTAAGCGGCGAGGTTTGAGAAGTTTTGCAGGCGGCTTCCTTGAAGATGGAAAAGCTTGGTTATGGGTCAGTAGGAAGAGAGTCTGGTATTCGGGAATCCTGGGTCGCAGCGCCCACTGGGCATATTTCAAAGGGGCCGAGATGAGCAGAGTTACCGCATCTTCCGAATTGCCAGCAACGACACAGCATGAGACATGTCTGATTAGCCAATCACAGCACTGGCTGGTAGGCGCACCTAATTGCCTCTTTAGGCAAGAGAACGGCCCTAGCCACTAACATACTACTTGGAGGCCCTACTGGCGAAATAAAATAATTCTCTTTATCCTTTTCATGACTAGCGTCGGCTTGATATTGACGTTAGTTACTATGGTTCTGGTGAGAATATCTTAGAGCCTATGGTTTTAACTCCTCTAACCAAGTTATTTAGGAACTTATGCAAACCTGTACAGCCACTCGATATAGATTTACGAAAGACTATAGAACCTCGAGTATTACAAAGAGCACCTCGATAGCAAGGCCATAATATATTCCTCCGACTAGCCGTTGAGGTAAGATACAGCTTCACCCATTCCTCTCTCGGCCGTTCTGTGACGGTATTGCATCAGTCGCTCGCTCCGTGCACGGCCAGCCGAGATGCTGTCTTTGCTGCTCCGTACGTTGCTGGCCGTCCCGCAACAGAGGATCTCCAATGTGCAGCACGCAACAACCCAGTCCATCTTGACACCCCATGATGCAACTGGTTTGGGTGAAAATAATGCAGTACCCAACAGATTCACCAAGGTGGAGCAAGACGACAGTGTTTGTGCCGCGGGATCGCGGCAGTGGACGGGCAAGATTGAAGTCACCCACGGAAATGAACTCTTCTACTGTACGTTGATCCCAATCACTATCGAGATCTTTCTTGCTTTCTACAGTCCAAGACTAAATGTTCGACAATCTGATAGGGTATTTTGAAAGTCAGCAGTTTGCAGAAAGGGCACCATTGCTGATATGGCTGACTGGGTAAGAGAATACCCTGCAATCAAGAATGAGAAGATCATCTAACAATCCACAGCGGTCCTGGAGAGGCATGTACTGTGCCTTTGCTAAATGGCGGCGGGCCCTGCACCATCAATGACGACGGAACTGCGACGGTCAACTCACCTCACTCCTGGACGAGTGAGTTTAACGTGGTGTACGTGGAGTGAGTCATCTGGTACTTTTGTCCCCAGACTTTTCACTCCTTATACTAAATCCTCTTTTCCTGTTGAGCGAAATTGCCGGGGTCGGCTTTTCCAAATCCAACTCGAAGCCGGTCCACCGCCCGAAAACGATTGACGATGTCACGCTCGACTTGAAATATTTCCTCTCTACTTTTGTTTCCGAAGCATTTCCCGAGCTCCGTGGACGCGGATTCCATATTTCTGGAGAGTCATACGGCGGAATACAAGCCATCTCGCTGGCCTATGCCCTTGCGAATCCGGAGACCGGAGGGCCGCAGCCCGACTTGAGCCTAGAATCCTTGGTGGCGTCGAGTAGCTTTGCCGATATTTCCTATTCCGCCCCAGCATATTACGACGTATTGTGTGGGAGAGACCACCAATATCTCAACAGAACAGAGTGTGCCATAATGGCTGCGGCCGTTCCAACGTGTGAGACGGCGGCGGTTTCGTGTAGGCAAACAACCGGCGACGAGCATTGCTGGGCCATGGCGGCGGCGTGCGCGCCCATACTCCAGTTCTGGGTTCCTCCCGAAAAGAATATTGTACACTGTATGTATCACTGATCTCCCATCAGAATCCCACCATGACTTGCTATTGGTATGAATGGACGCAATTACTGGCTAATGACTGACTGATTTCCATGCAGTGGAAAAGCCTTGCGCTGGGTTCCCCACCTGTGACCCTCGAATGAAGGCTATCGAGACATATATGAATAACACAGAGATACAGAAGAAGCTCGGCTTTGCCAAGAATCACCTTGTTCCGTTTGTCGGTATGGATATGGAAGTAAACATATACATGGCCATGCACGGTTCCGTCTGGCTTCCCACCAGCAGCAAGTACGAGTATTTGCTCAAGAATACCAGTGTTCGTATACTTGGGCGTGGAGGTTACCTTGACCCCGACACGTAAGCTCCCGAAATCCTACCTGTAGCAAGAAGCTAGTATGCATCTAGCTTGAACAAGGTCGGGAAGAAATCTTGCTAACTTTGCTGTTGACAGCCCGATTGAAGGAGCAATCAGAGGCTTTGAAGCATTTCACTGGTGGGGGCAAGCCCAGTTCCGCGCGTCGCGCCCGGAGCCGTGGTACTACAGAGGGACAGACGGAGATATGGTCCGCGGCGGCTGGCGCAGGGGGTACAGTCGGCTATGGTTTGTCTCATTTGATCAAACCGGTCACTTGATTGATAGAGATGAGCCAGAGTCGTCTCTACATATCATGAAGCAATGGATTCAGGGTGGAGTTCCTGTGCAGGCTTAGACAATTTGTCTGTAGGATTATTATTAGATTGGGCATGTAAGAATAGCGACAGATATAAACCATACTCTCACGTGGGAGGCAGGTCTACCTTTATCAATGCTTTGATTCCATCCCCCCTGCGCCTCACGAAAGTTTATACTGGGGATAGTAAAAGATCAAACTGAAACTGGACCATGACTTTTTCTGTCTGACTTGGTGCAGAGAAATATGCATCTACACAAACTATTGCCCAGCGAATTCGTGCACACATGATATACAAGTTTGCTCTTGGTCCTTTAGGACAGTCTTCGTCACCTGTCCAGTGTCTGTTTGGATTGTGGAGATCATTAGAATTATAGCATGCTACCTATACTATATATGGCCAACCATACCGACCCTAAGGCTAGACATCTTGGCGCTAGTCTTTATCGGGCTCTCGGACGCGCAGAGATATGGTCTTGTGCCTTCAAAAGCACGCCGACAAAGGTGTTTGGCCCGGCATAATCTTGCAATGAGCTGATCCGGCCGAAGCATTCTGTCTTGCAAACGATTAGGCAATTGCCCTTGATGAGGAGCCAGTCGATCGTGTGGTTCGCCACGGCGGCAACAGCCACCCTGTTACCCGCCCAGACCTCGTTCAGCTCTCAACACGGGCTACCGCCATTTTCAGTTCAACTGTCCCCCGATACAGCAGCCGTCTGCAATTCATCAACCCCGGGGACTGCTGGCTGGATTGACTCTGATGACGATAGCCACATGTTCTTCTGGCTGTATGAAAGCAAGAATAACCCCACATCCGATCCGGTTATCCTGTTCATGAGTGGGTAAGTCATCCGTCTTTTCCCATGTCCGTCCTAAGCGGCAGACGTGCGATATGGGAGAGTCACTATTGTTGACTCCTCCATATTAGTGGTCCCGGGGGTTCCTCGACCGGCGCAGGGGCCCTGATGGAACTGGGGCCCTGCCAAATCAGCAGCGACGGCGAACATACACTCGACAACCCGTATGGGTGGAATGCAAATGCGACCCTTCTTTTCATCGAGTAAGATTCCTTCCCTTTGTGTGGGATGAAAATATCGAGAGTCGTGACGTTCTATTTTCTGCTCCATCACAATCGCTAAATACTCGGCAGCCAGCCATTGACAGTTGGTTACTCATACGGCGGCCGCATGCCTCGAAATCTCAAAGATGCCACAACAAACACACATAGATTCCTGCAGCAGTTCTTTGTGGCCTTTGAGCAGCTTTCCGAGTTGGATTTCTACATCACTGGCGAGTCCTACGGCGGATCCTGGGTACCTGCACTCGGCGCCCGTATCGTCGAACGGCAACAATCTGATCTCGCCATGGTGATCCAGTCGTCCACTGGCTACATGCCAAAACATATCAATCTGAAAGGAATTGCTGTCGGTAATGGTCTCTTTCGGCAGTCTGTACAGTCCAGTGGTCTATTTGAATCAGCTTGCAAAGGCCCTGATGCCATTTTCAATCCCGCGCAATGTGATCGTCTCGAGCCCCTGGCCTCAAGGTGTGAAATATTGGAGAGCGTTTGTGAAGAGTTTGGTTATGACAGCGTGGGCTGCAAGACAGCGGCATCTGTATGCGGTGTCTTTTTTGAAGTCTTTGCAGAGCTGGGGAGGAATCCATATGATTGGCGCCAGAGATGCAGCGGTGATGTCTTGACTTGCTACTCTTCTCTGAGAGGGATTGAGACACTTATGGCGCTCAACGACACTAGAAAGGCGCTTGGTGTGCCTGATCAAGTGTCATATGCGCTCTTGTCAGAGGAGGTCATAACCGCGTGGAATGAGGAGGATGAGATATGGAAGCCGAGCCATCAATACGTAAATTATCTTCTTGACATGGTGAGTCCCCTCTGCTGGCTGATCGACTAGATTCCAGGGAACAAAGTAGTCGCTAATAGCACTTTAGGATGTTCGTGTGTTGATATATGTCGGGAATACCGATTTTCTTTGCCAATATGGAGGCATGCGCCGGCTTGTCAACGAGGGATTGTCCTGGCATCACCAGCCAAGCTTCCGCTACAGGCCCTTGCGGGAGTGGTACGTTGATGGGCAGCGAGCAGGACTAGGCAAAGCTATTGAGCCTTTGAGCTACATGGAAGTGGAGCAGTCAGGCCATCTTGTTCCCTTTGACAAGCCTGTAGAGGCTCTGGCGATGATCAATTCGTGGATCCAGCGGTCGCTACCATGGTAGTGTGACCTAGACATGTCATTTCATTGACTCATGTTCTGCCTGCTTTGATTTATCAATATACCTAGGGTCCAATGATGTAAAACGCTGTTGTATTATGCATGGATGTCTGATACGAAATGTACTTTGGTAAAAGAAGTAAACGATTGGTGGTAGAGTACTCAGAGTACAATTTCCCAGTCATTTTGGTCAACGAACCGCTACAACTGCAACTAGCCATCTTCGAAATTCCGCTTTGCAATCTGGAGAGTTGCGGGTAAATCTATTCTCTCTAATCCAGAAAGCTGCTCTGCCCTATTGGAGTTGATTGGCACCGCGTCTTATCTTGCCTCATCGGGTAGCCTGAAGCGTGCAGTCCCCACCCAGATGCCTATCATACTAGCTGAAATGAAAACATTAAATTGGGCGCATTCAGACCGTTTTTTGCGGCATAATCCAGATTCTATAGAACTGTTACTCATTTTGAATGACAGAACACGGGCGAGTGAATATCTACGTGTACATTCTTTTTCGATACTGCAATTACCAGCTCATGCAGACGTCTCCAAGTTCAACTGACCTCTGTACAAGGACATGATGCAGATACCTTGCCAAAAACAGGCCGTCTGTGATGAAACAGTAATTCTGGCCCGACTGCTCATCCCTGGTCGTGGAGATCCCCTGCCCAACGCTGCAGTCGTCGTCTCGACTGCGACTGGGAAGATCACCTTCGTCGGCCCGCAGCGCGACTTGCCTCAGCGATTATGTTCGGCGCCCCAAATTAGAGTCGTATGTCTGTTACCTGGGCTTTGGGATTGCCACACTCATTTTGTGGGCATCACCAAGGTCGACTTTCCAGCCATGATTCAGACTCACCCCGCCATCTGCGGTGCCGCCATCGCCCGGGGCTTTTACGACACTTTGATGGCAGGTATCACAAGTGTGCGTGACGTTGGGTCGTTTGCAATCGAAGCGCACGTGGCGGTAAAGGCTGGATTGCTATTGGGCCCCTCGGTTTTCGGTGCTGGTGGTTGTATCGGCATAACGGGCGGCAGCAGCGACGCAACTACATTACCTTTGGATTTTGTGTATGCAACACAAGGTGTGCACCATACCAAGCCCTGGCCGGGCACGAGTAGCCTTGTCTTGGCTGATGGCCCTGATGAGTGTCGACGAGCTGTCCGGCAACAGATACGCCGCGGTGCCCTGTGTATCAAGGTCATTACGACTGGAGGCGTCATGTCGACGACGGATAATCCGCAGTACCGCCAATATTCTGATGCTGAGCTTGAGGCCATTATGGACGAAGCCAAGCTACAGCATCGGGCAGTAGCAGCACACGCCCATGGTACAGCTGGCATCGTCGCTGCAATCAAGGCGGGAGCCACGACTATCGAGCACGGCAGCTATTTGACAAAGGAAGCGGTTGAGCTCATGAAATGTCGCGGGACAACGCTTGTAGCTACAAGACATATCATCGAGGCAGGTCTCCGGATGCTTGATACATGGCCGGCCCCGACTGCGGCCAAAATGGTCGCGGTGGCGAACCGGCACTTGGAGTCGTACAAGCTGGCTGTCCAAGCTGGTGTCAAAATTGCGCTCGGCACGGATATCTGTAGTTCCAACCCTACAGACGAGATATCACACGGAAGAAACGCCACCGAGGTGGTTTGGGCAGTGACCAAGGCAGGCATGACGCCTTTGGGTGCTATCGAGGCAGCTACCGCAAACGCGGCCGAAACCTTGGGTCCACAGACACCTAAGAAAGGGATTCTTCAGGTTGGCTGGGACGCGGATATGATTGCCATGGATGAGAACCCCCTTGAAAAGATTCAATTGTTTGCTGACCCTCGGAACATCAAATTCGTCTGGAAAGAGGGCAAACTGGTCAAGTCGCCAAGCGATTGCTTCTGGCCGCCGCCACTGGAAGAGTTGTGCGGCTGGAATATTGTCAGCCATACCGACTGCGCTGGATGTGGCCAGGCGCACTAAAGAAATACACGTTTGAGTTGGTCTTACATGCAAGGACGCGCGGCTTGAATTCACAGCAGCAAAGACGCCAGACCGCCCGCGTAATCATTATAATTCATTCGCATCATGTTGGATGCAGGGAAACTGCAGTAACGAGTTACCTGATTTTGACTTTGAAGTGTCGCAATAATCCACATCTCATTACCTGTTTACATTGGCTTGGCCACTGTCCATGCCAAATGTGTTGATGGATAGGTGCTCGTAGCTATCTACACACTCTGAGCATCCACTGGATGATGGGGCTCAAGTCCCAATGATTAGCGTGCTATCACTCACTAAACTGGCGAGCCGTAGGTGGACTAGCCCCAAAGCGATACCTAATACTTCCAAGGCATGATGAACCAACCCCGCAGCTTTCCTCTTTCCGCACTAAATATCGGTTGCTTATCTGCCTGCAAAGGTGCATGTTTGCGCAAAAGGGGGATTCATTCTGTTGCATCAATCAAAATGTGTATCACAGCTATTGGCATAATACACGCCAAAAGTCTCTATCAATATGCCAGGAAACCACTCGGTATCATCCAGTAATCCACGGGATTATGCTAGGAACGTAACAAGGACAAAGGGTGCTTGTTCAGAGTGCCGCCGCCGACGTCGCAAGGTTTGTCAATAGAATCAAACAAGGCCTCATAGTGGGTGCTTGCTTTCCATCAGCTGACTAGTATTCTCATCTTCGTCCAGTGTGACCTGCAAAAGCCAAGCTGCCGGCGTTGCGTCTCAGCCAAGATCACTTGCACATACGCGGCAACAGTGCTGGAATTCCGTGACTCAACCGCCTGGGCAGCGCAGAAGGTGGAAGCAGCGAAAGCGAGGACTCGTGCGTCTCACGCCTCCGCCGCCGCCACCAGTGACAGGTGCGCCTCTGTGGCCGACGTAAACGCTTCGGATAGCCCAGATGCAGACTGCTACCGCTTACCACCTGCCTCACCACTGATTCCATTGAGCGAAACGACGGCATCGCCCCTGACCTCACGTACTTACCCAACAAACATCTCAGTACCTAGTGGGGGTCCCTGTTCTGTTAGCCCGGAAAAAGCCATTGCTAGTGAATTCGACGTGGTGAACTGGGATGGAGAGACAGGTCTTAACAGTTCCATATGGATGGTCAATTCTATTGGCTCCACTTCGCACGCAATTGGCTTGCCCCCGAATGACTCGGATCTCACGGCCGACAACTCGGATCCAGTGTATGACGAGAGCACACGGGCACTCAATGTAGACCAGGGAACTCGGATTGGTAGCCAAGGCTATTCAGGCGCCGAGAGCAACACTGGGCTCTCGCCTGGCCAGCTAAGGAAGACTCCGGATCTGAGGAAGACAAATGACAGCAATTCCTTTTTCCCAGCCGACGAGGGTCGTTCAGTCCTAGAGCTAGGGCTGCTTGGCCCTGGAGATGCGAATTATGTTGATACAATGTTTCCTTGGCCGCCGCCACTCCAATCACCACCACGTTCCTTGCAAACCACACCTGATGTCCCAGTTGGCGACCGGCTTTATCTAGCTCATTTTGTCACGCACGTCGCGAATCTCCTCCCTACGGAAATGCAATCTCTGCGAACAACAGCAATGACAGAAGTACATGTGCGGCTTGCCGCCATGGCCCACGGCGCAGCTCATCTGGCCTTTCTCCAAGGCGCACCCAAGGCCGATCAGCAGCACGGCTCTAGATGGGTTTCCAAAGAAGCCCACCGGAAACGAGGCTCTGAGCTAACAGCTCGGGCCTGGCGTGAGACGGACTCTAACTCGAGTCTACCACTTGACACAAGTCTGGCGGTGATCTTGCTTCTATGCTATCACGAACTCGAAGCCGGCACGTTTCATAGCCTTTGGAGCCTCGTGAGTCGGCTTGATCTACGAATTATGGCCTCGATGAACGACCTCTCTACACTGAGCTATGGAATCATGCAGGGATGGTCGCATATTCGTGCCCTTGCGAAACGGACCTGGCCCCTGGTGCAGCCTACTGCTTTGGAGTCACGAATGGAAAATATTCTTTGTCAACTCGAGGAGGTTTATGCCATGTCACGAAGGGTCGATTCTATATGTATCATGGCTGTCCGTTTAATGTACAGGGTTATCTCATGCAAGTGTTTGGGCTACTCCGGTTCTCCATCTAAAGACACCCTTCGAAATATACGAAGTTGGTGGAAAATCCTTCAGGGCACTGCTGAATCAGCCCAGGAACAACTTTTCGACGACGACTACGAAAATGCGCTTCATGAGGATCAGATATACACAGAGCTGCAAAGCCTTGGGGAGAGACTCCAGGACTGCGACATTCCTCAAGAGTTCCCTCCTGACTTTGAGGCTATGCTTGATCGATCAGCATCAAACACTCTGTCGCCTGGCAGCCAAACGGACATCAGTGCCTCGGACCCTCTGTTCTATTTCACTAGTCATGATCAAGCCATGTCATGTGCTGATTATGCTTTTGCGCATATCGTCACTGATATTCGGCTACTCAAATATGCTATAGCACCAGCAGGAGGCAAAAGAACACCACGAGCACCAAACCCGTGGCTGGCTCTTTTGCAACATATCGCGCAAGGCCTCGATATAGCCAATTGTTCTAGTCGGAATGCGTATCGCATGTCCATTATATCACAAATACTGTGTGGTGCTCTTTTGTGTTGTGAGCCAACCGTACTAAACTTTCTCGATGGACTTCTTGATCGAATGCTTGCTCAAGGCCTGCACCGCGAAGACGCCATGACGCCCCTGCTTTTGCTTTCACGGGTGATAAATACTCTGCAAAATGAGTTTCGCCAAGGACGACAAATTTTTCTTTGCTCGGTTACGTTCAATGAGTGGACTGCCAAGGAGGAACTTTTTACTTCGGGTCAAGGAGAATGCTTGATCATTTTGGGAAGAGAGGCTAGTGGCACATTGTTTAGCGATTCTGTGCCTTTAATTTATGAAATGTCTTGATAGAATAAAATGTTGTCTTGTTCCTTTGTCTATGAAAGCAAACACCGGGATACGTTCGTCCAACACCCCTTCGGGTTGCTCAGCTACACTACCAATGCAGACATTGTGTGTCAGATGGAAGATAACGAATCCCATACACCAGGGTGTGCTTGGGCACACAGATCAACGCCATGGCATCCAGATAGATGTTCAGGGCTCCGAGGGACTAGCCGGGGCCACCCAAATAAGCCTACACCGCGTCAAAACTAAGGTGCAAGCAACGTGGATCGATATATTACACGATTTACACCCAAATTAGACCAGTTTCGACTCCAATATCAACAATCTGGGACCAGTTACCTAAATGCCGACACAAATATAACAGCCAAGCTAGCGCGGCGAAGGTATGCGTACCGGACTAGCGACTACAGTCACTCCTGTCTCGGTCGTCCCATTTCAACGTAGCATCAGTCGCTCGATCCACAGAAAGCTAGTTGAGATGCTGCTCTTGCTCTTTACATTGCTGACTCTCCCGCAACAGAAATCCTCGAACGCTCAATGGGCCACGCTCAATACGGGATCGGCCAATCCATTCTGAAACAGCATGATGCGCGCACACCACATTCATGTTGATTCCAGATGGAATCCCAGTAACTAGCTCAGGGACTCTTGGTAATATACTCGCTACGATCCCGAGATTGCTGCCCAGTTTTCACCTTTTGGCGACACCAATTTTAAACTTCAAGCACTGGGACCGAGTGATGCCTTCCTAGGATGATCACCTTGTTAAATGATGGCCTAAGGACGATCACACTTTCTGATCAGTCGTCAGCACGAATATATAAACCAGGACCTATTCGACATGTGTAGACCGTCTCTGCAATTACACTTTCAATCCCCAATTACCGCGAACATATCACTTTTACTTAATGTGCTTCAATCCTAAGTGATGCAGTTTTTAACACTCACCGACTGCGGGGGGACATTCATTCTCGAAGGTGTCCCTGAGAGCTGGGCACACAAGAGGCTGAATACTTCACATCTGAGCCCAAAAGTGATTCATCATGTCCCATATATGAGATACAGGCTATGAGAAAGGGCAGTTTTTCAATTGTATGATGAGTTTGTTAGAAGAGCCCAGAGCTTGATAATGTGAAAGCGCCCACTACAGTAACGTCGGGCATGTCCGTACACAATGCAGGATTTGGATTAATCGGATACTCGCACCAACATATTCTCTCCCTATGTACGCAAATAGTCCTAATATCGATCAATCGGATGAGCTTGCCCGAGATTGCCTCACTAGAGCAGAGAAAATTGACTCGGGGTCCCTTAATAAGGTCGAGGGTTTGTCGAACTCGACAATTGCTCCGCCCTCAAGAACTAGAATTTTATCGTAATTGATCTGGATGTTGGCACCAATCTGTCAGTTGTGCAATTTCGCCCCTACAAAATATTCATACAGCGGGGAATCTTACAACAGTCTCTATCTTATGAGCAATAGCAATGACGGTACTGCCCCGGAAGGCTGAGTTCATCACCTCGTGAGCCAAGGCGGCAGTTTGCGCGTCGACGGAAGCTGTGGCTGTCGATAAGATTAAATCGTAAGCTGCATGATTCAACAACGTAGAAAGAAAAAGAGCCACAAACCTTCGTCTATTATAACAATATTCCTCTTGCCAACCATGGCTCTCGCCATCGCAAGGATCTGTGTTTGTCCAACAGACAAGCGTCGACTACAAATTAACGATATTAGTACCATTGATGGTATTGTTAGGCGCAGGCTCTGATGAGCTTTGTACTAACCTCCCGTCGGCGAAGTGATAATCAAGTGGGCTGTCGCAGTCGTCAATCCCAAGAATCTCAACCAGCCTGCACTTCGAGACAATGTCTAGAAGGCTTTCATCAGATTTTCTCTGCAAGGGGTCCAGATTCATCTTCAGGCTTCCAGAAAAGACGACGGGCTCTTGAGGAATAAGCGCAATCTTTGCCCGCAATTCCGTTGCCGATACGTCTCGGTAGAGGTCCTTGCCATCAATGAGGATTCGACCACCTGGTAGGACTGCATCTCTGTCTAGTGCCATCAAGAGCGCCAGCATCAAGGAGGATTTTCCTGCCCCGGTCCGCCCTATCACCCCAACTCGTTCACCTGGTGCGATGTGGCAGTTCAAATTACGCAGGCAGAGATCACCTCCTGGGCGATAAGCAGCACTGAACCGGTCAAAGGTGATAGAAGGCCTTTTGGGCCAGGCACTAGGAAATTGGGACGGCGTGTCGCAAGAGTCAGACTCTTCCTCGCGAGGATTGTCAACATATGACAAGATCCGGTCGAGCGAGCACAGATCTGCTTCCAGGTTGGCTAAGGTCTGTACAACTGCACCAAGCGCTTGTGTTATCTCCACGCAAAAGGTTAGGACTAAACCAAGAGTGCTGGAGGAGACATGCAATTTAAGAAGTAAAATCGCAGTCATAGCTTGTGCCACACCTGACAAGCACTGAACGCGTAAGGTGAGCCATATGTCCAGGCAGAGGAATGGTACCCAAATACTGATCTGTTGGTTCACCTTTGAACGAATGAGTCGCTTGAAATGTTCAGTCTGGCCGTGCGCTCGAATGATGCTAGCAGCAGAACCTAGTTCGACAGCCATAGCGAGGACCGAACTCCGCGCATCATTGTCTAGCCTGCGTAACTGGCGAGCAGCTCTCCTGTACACTGACTGGATGAAATGAAACATAAGGGCCAAGGGACCCATATAAAGGAGACTTATAGATGAAGTGGTCAGAACCACAACAAGGCTTGCCGCCACAGTGACGCTCAGCATGACTATCCTGATGAAGCCGCCGCCCACAGGTCCGTCAATGTTGTTGACGTCGTTCGTGAAACGGTTGACAATCTGGCCGAGAGGCGAATCGTCGAAGAAAGTGAGCTTACTGCGCAGCACTCCTTTTGTGAGCTGGTCGTGCAGGGACTGCGATGCTGGCATCAAGCAAGCCAAGAAGACAACCATGATGAGAGTCGCAGTGACTAAAGACATCGAAATGCCGGTAAGGGTGTATGTCAATAACCCACTGGCTGCGTCGACCATTTCAAAATCTTGTGCTACTTGCTGAAGACAATAAACAGAACGAACATTGAGCAGGGTAATGACCACTGCCAATATGAGCGTCAGAGGCCATCCCCAGACCTTTCCTGTCCGTAGAAAGGTCCAGTAGGTATGAAATGATATGCCTTTGTCATCGATCTCGTCGGGCTGTGCCACAGAAGCCACGTCTCGGGGAAGTAATGGCGTTATTTCCGTAGCATTCGTTTGAGCATAAACCCTCACGGGAAGCCGCCCGACCAGGACCTCGGTTGAGATCGGAACAGTTTCAGTCAGGATTCTTCCAACCCGAAGTGGCTCAGTTGGCGACTCAGCCCGATGGCTATTAGGCACCTCCTCTTCAGCCGAAAGAGTGCCGAGACTGCCCTGTCCCGCTGTGGGCGAGCACAGTTTTATAGTCTCTGCTTCAATAGTATACACAACGTCAGCTATTGCAATCAAAGACATACTGAAGGTCGAAACAACACGAGTTGAACCTCTTAGGATACCTCGAGGTCCTAAAATATTGTTGACGATACTGCGCTGTACTTTGGCGTCAAGGGCTGCCAAAGGATCGTCCAGAACAACCAAGGGTCGTTGCGAATACACGGCCCTTGCGATGGCTACGCGGCTCTGTTGGCCTCCCGAGAGGATAGATACAGTACCACCCAGCATGGTTGCGTCGCCCTTTGGGAGCCGTGAGAAGTCCGGGGTGAGACAGGCCGCGTCGACCACTTTCCTGTACCAGACAGGGTCATAAACACGACCGAAGGTGATGTTCTCGCGAATCGTTCGGCTTATCAACACAGGGCGCTGAGAGGCATAGGCGATCTGACCGTTCACCAGAACGGAGCCAGCGCGTGTTTGAATTTCACCTAATATGACACGCAGTATGCTCGTTTTCCCAGATCCAACAGGGCCCGTGATGACCGTGAGCTTTCCTGTCTCTGCGATCATTGTTGAGTTTCGAAGAAGCGTCTTCGTGTAGCCACCCTCACGAATTGGTATGTCGAGATCCACAGCATTAATACTAGCAGACCAAGCGACTGACAAGTCGGATAATGAATGTTGTTCTGAATCGTTGTCTAGTTCAGTGGTACTGAGGAAAACACTAACTCGGTCATACGAGATGACACCAGCTTGATAGAAGATGACCATCCGCGGCAGCATTGACATAGCCTGGCTCACGAAGCCGAAGAGGACCAAGGCTGGAAACACCACGGTGCTTGTAAGACCCAGACCGATGACTATACGAGATATAAATGCTGTGCTGATGAATGCTACCGGCAGTAATGTGGTAAGGAAAACAATGACGGCGTTGGCGAGTGACATCTTGGCTAATGCCCCCATCTCCAGAGCCCGGGCATTTCTGATGTTATCCTCAAAAAGTCGCTCCCAGCCATACAATTTTACGTGTCTGGCGTAGGAAAGAACTTCTTTCACAAGGGATACTCGAGAATCCTTTGCCAGCATAATTTGACGCATTCGCTTCGACACTAAACTCATGCTGGCAATGGTCATCGGAACAAACAGAATCTGAAGTGGAATGCACGATTAACACACCTAAGAATAATTTCGAGACGAAAGCTCTAGGAAGCAAGACCTACCGATACACCGAGACCTGCCATTATGCTCTTCCAACCCAGCAGGAGCGTTAATCCGCCTAAGCCACCAAGGAACTGGAGTGGCATAACCCAGGTTCCATGAATATGTTCGGTCAAGTTATAGACGGCCATGGCATCAACCTCGATCAGAACAGATGCCTCCGACTTTTCATGATCGCCGGCGCTCGAACTTTGGCTCATTGATCGGCTGATGATTTGGTCGCAAATCAGCGTCGTGAGAGCTGAGCGAATCCTCATACCCAGGATGCGGGTCAAAAGCAGAGAATGCGAGTAGCATGTAGTCTGCAATATGCCTGCCACAAATGTGGTCATGATGCTGATAAGGCTGCGCTCCTCAAGCACCCATCGTACAAGAAAAGGCTGAATAATTGAGAGAATTATATACACAGCAGCAAGACCGCCACTCACCCAAATCTCAAAGGGAAATCTGCAGCAGATAAGCACGAAGAGATTCTGGGGAAGGGGTTTGGGCCACACTCTCGAAGCTTTCAATAAGTTCGGGATTTCTGCTAGAGACTGCGATACACTTAAGAAGTCGTCAACCTGCCAAACGTGCGGAGTTTGGAGAACATCGCGGCTGGCCTTTTTCAGTACATTGTTCAACCAGGCCAGGGTTAGGTATGAAAGAAGTGAAGAAGGCCGGCTTAGCGGATGGGTCTTTCCATTGATCTCGTCCTCTGCCACCGGATATCCAGCCATGGAGAGGCCAATCAATCCATCGCTGAAGAAAAGGACTGGTACCAATCCATTCACAAAGAGAGGTCCGGATACCAAATCGGGATAAAAGACCACCCAGAGCAGGCCGGTAGAGAAGCTATATAGCACTCGCAACGTAAGTATGCCACCAGTTGAAACAAGGCACAGTCCGGGAACAGTCCCAGCGAAAACAATCGTGAGCTTGCGCATGTCGTCCAGACGTTGCGTCGAATCCCACCGCCACATATTGTCGACCAAGAGCCATACAGACGTGGCAGCAATAAGGAAGGAGGGAATCTGAAACGAATGTTAGGTCTCAAAACTCTCAACTATGACGAGTTCGTCATAAGACGAAATTGGGAACTGACAATACTGAGCGTCCTATACCAAAAGGGCACCATCCGTACAGGTTTATTGTTATAATTTTTCCATGTCTGATATAATACACAAAGAGCGTATATCGTCGCCAAGCTGAACTGAGAGAGTCTACAGTGAGTGAGTCAATAGAGTTTGCGAGGTCGATCGCTCAATCATGTCAATCAAGCAAGCAATGGTACTCACAGTGAGACACTTGCCCAAGCCATGGCGAGCGATGGATAGGTTGGGGGGGGGCCGACGCGGTATGGTAGAGCAGAGATCGGCTGCGGCGAGATATCGACCGCTATGCAGAAACAGTCCAAGAGAGATCGGGATAAGGGGTACAGTAAGTGCTAGTGGGTAAGTGCTTATAGGATCCTGGGTGCTGCTTGACCGGTCAGGTAATGAATGTTGGAGTAGACTAGACGCCTCTAAAATAGCGAGCAGTAAGTGAATGGTCAGAAAGGGCAAACGACTCTGAAATTCAACAGTCTCTCGCTCTTATCAACTCAATAACTGACGAATTGATTCAGCTCAGTGTAATTATCGTAGAGAATGGCGACTTTCACCAAGTCTGTAGCCCATGCTCGAGCGTTTGCCGCCCACGACCACTCTATTACCCAATGTGGTAATCAGCTCCGCACTCTCAGCACATCGATCCCTTGCCAGTGCACGCGCTTACTAGCGGTCTCAAGACTCCCAGTTGGCAAAGGAAACAGAATTCCACGTCGTTCTCAGAAAACCGCTGGCCTGTATATGGCAGAAGTATATCGAGAATGCCACAATCGGTTACTTCAAAGATTACACCTTTGATCTGAACAATTGATAATCAGATTATGCAAGAGCGACATGTGAAATTGTCGTACTGACGTAGTCAGTACCCACCGCAGATCACCTGCGTGGATATATAGTCGCTCTCCAGCATCTCTCTTCTGTAGACTAGAGATCAACTCAGACAACTTTCAATGCCTCCTCTATCATCTCGTCAGCCTACAACGGCATGAGACGAGTAACTTAGATCAATTAATCACATAAGCAACGCCCATGGTAGACCAGTTTAAGCTCCAATATAAAAGCACCACATTGATCAACAATCCGGAACCGCCCATCTAGATACCGACACAGATATAATAACCGAGCCATATGTTGCAAGTAGAACCAGCTTGGGGATTCCAGGCAATAATGTTGGCAGTAGATACCCCGGTCTTAGTTGAAACGACACTGCATGTGTCACCCGAGACGACTGTATAACACTTTTGTTAGCACGCGGATTCCTGTTTGCAGCAGGTACGGGATCTTTGGTCTTGCCTTGATAGAATTTCTTGCAGTTTGTAACCATATCTGGCATGGCGGGCGTCGGCGTGGCGACTCCGTTGCCAGTGGTCGTGGTGGTTGTGCGGAGTGTAGTCGACGTCGTTGTCGTTGGCGACCCGATGGTGTGTACACACACGTAGACGCTCGCCCACATACCCGAGCAGTCTGCGCCCACACCAGAGTTGAGCGCGTACAGCTGGGCCAGCGTAAGACCTGTAGAACTGAGCACGGCACTGCAGCTTGTGCCAGGCTGGACAAAAAAGAACTTGTCACAGTTGCTCACCATGCCCTTGGAGGAAAAAGTCAGTCGCTACAGACTAGGTCAGGTATCGTGGATTGACTTACTGGCTGGGTCGGCGTTGGTGTTGAGACACCGTTCCCGGGTGTAGTGGTGGTGGTAGGAGGAATACTCGTTGTTGTTGAAGTCGTCGTCACTTGCCCTCCTCCGATGACTCCAACACAAACATAGACGGACGCCCACATGCCTGAGCAGTCTGCACCCACGCCCGAGTTATAGGCGTAGAGGTCTGCGAGCGTGATGGAGTTTGCCGCGAGTACGGCGCTGCAGGAAGTTCCCGGGCTCACAAAATAAAACTTTTGGCAGTTGCTCACCATACCCGGCTGCGTGGGAGTGGGCGTGGTGACGCCGTTGCCGGGGGTCGTGGTCGTGGTCGTTGTGGCCGATGTGGTCGGATTTGGAGTTGTAGTCTCTCCTATGATGCCGACGCAAACATACACCTCGGCCCATAGGCCTGTACAGTCTGCCAACACATCAGTGTTCCAGGCATAGAGCTGCGCAATGGTAATGCCATTGGTATCCAGGACTGCTTTGCAGGAGCTGCCCTTGGGAACAAAGTAGAACTTGTTGCAGTTGCTGGTCAAGCCGCCCATTGTTGGTGTTGGCGTGGATACGCCATTGCCAGTAGTTGTAGGGGCAGCAGTGGTTGTTGTTTTCGATGTGGTTGGAGTTTCCGGTGGTACGCCCCCTGATCAGCTTAGTACTTGTCACTCAAGAGTCAAGGTCCCATTGTATGTAGGATATAAAGACAAGATTCTTCCAGAGTTTCGGACTTACAATTCTGTTCAACACAGTAGGATTGACCAACTACAATGGCGCAGGCACTTGCAAGCGAAGGGTTCTACATCAAGCATATGAACGTTAGCAAAATGGTCAGATACACGATAAGCCTGGGGTGATCTTACATATGTGAACAGTTGCGAAAGCTCAAGTCCATACGTGTTGGATATCCCTTGGCAAGTGTCGCCTGTTGAAGCAATCATCCAAAGTGTACAGTCTTGAATCGTGTCAGAAGATGCCGCCGTTGGGGGGTCGACTGTGTAGCCCCAAGTAGCCCCAACGAGCACGATGCTTGCCAGAAATGTTTGGAAGAACATCTTGAATCATTCACAGGGTGTCACACTCGCATAATGCGGAATTCATCCTAAACACACCCAAGGCAATAGCGTTTCATCAGTATTTATCTATATGGTGTGACTCCATATAGGACTCTATTGTCGGCGTTGCCCGCTTGACTATCACCCACGCGGCGTTTCTCGCTTGTTCTTCTGATGCTTAACGCACGATCCTACACCCAAGGTTGTATCAATAGATGTCAGCACTATCATACTTTGACCCTGTTTATCTGCTCAAAACAATATTTGATTGTCGACAGTCATTGGTAGCACTCGTGTAAGAGTTTCTGGACCCATACCATTGGATCAGGCTAGGACGCGGATAGTTGAGATCATGTGGTGAATAATTCATGTCGCTTGGAAGCCGATAATAGTCTTGGCAAATCATGAAAAGCATTAGAAGGAACATTAATCATCAGAAGAACGAAAAGAAGGCTGCTGACGCCAAGGCCATAACATACGATGGCACAGATATCATTTCGCGAAGTTCTCGTGCAGCGATGGACTTCAAGTCACGATGCTTATTTCACTTTACGGGTGTCTGGACACTTTCCAAATCCGGCGGACAGTGCTTACGGTTAGTGCTCGCACTGCTGGTTACCAGATCATATCATAAGACTAGTGCTGATGCGCCGCGTCTTGGCAGCAACTTCAACTGGGGGAGGGGTTCATTGATTCCTAAATCAATTATATGCATTAATCGTATATCACCCTAGGCCCTTGCTAGAACGCAGGTGACCGCTCAGGTACCGTCAGGAACCAAGCATGCGGTTGAATCAAAGTGATTACTTCCGTGGTACACAAGATTGAACATAAGGATAATTTCGTTTCACTATACATTTCGCCCTTTCAAATGAAATACGTGACAGAATAACGGCAACTCTTGTGCAGATTTTGAAAATCTGGTCGAGCTAACCACATGCCACGCATTGCTCCATTTCCACAATGTTGAGCTTGATTCTCCTGTTATTGGCGACTCTGAGCCACGCTCAGGTCCAACTGCTCAATGTTTCGGCCAACGATGGTACATCATCAACCTGTATCACGGTGCTGAATTCACAAGTCACCTGTGACAACAATCTTGTGAGGGCTGGAGACACAATTCAAGGAAACCCGGTCTTTGGAACGCCGCTGTTTCTGACGTCTGCTCAACTCGCTAGTCTGTGTACGACCTCCTGCTCGTCGTCGCTCTCTGGATGGGAAAGGAGGGTAGCTGGAGCTTGTGGTGCAACGCTGTACGACCAGCCTGACGGTGGAAAAGCAGCACCGGCTGCTTTGGTTCAAAACTATATTGAACTATTCGACTCGCTCTGTCTAAAGAATAGGTAGGAAGCATTTGAGAACCTTGACGACAGGTAACTAATTTCTCAAGTGCTGGTCAATATTGCAATGATGTTATCGGCAAAGCGCTGGCTGTGGACCCGTCCAACGGCATGGTCACTGGAACTCCTGGTAAGCTCACCAATGCCAGCACGAGGATTCGAAACTCACCATGAATAGCCTCTACTATATTATGCGATGATTGCTATTTGTCCCTGGTCTCTACCCAGTTGGCAATGCCCATGGCGTCTACTAGCATTCTCGCTGATGACTTCAAATTCTTGACTTCTTCCTGCAGCAAAACGGGGTGGACTCTATCCTCGCCACCTACTGCAACGACCTTTACGACCCGGTAAGTGTAACGCAAAAGCCAAAGAGTTCAATCGATGACAATATTCTGATGACGAAAAGCCCAACGGTATCGCCACCGGCAGCCGCGAATTGCTCAGGGGAGTGGCACACCATCACAGCCTCCGATACATGCACCGGTATCTCTCTGGCAGAGGGCATCAGTACCGATGATCTCGCCCGGTCTAATACAATACCTTCGTTTTGCTACAATTTCCCAACGTCGGGCGACTTGTGCATCCCTTCGGACCGGAAATGCCAACCGTACTTGGTCAAATCGACCGATACATGCTATTCCTTGCAGAAACAGTTTGGCATACAATACGCGCAGCTTATATCCTGGAACCCAACCTTGGGACCCAAATGTAACAATATTGATAGCATCGTCGGCTACGTGATATGTGCCACGACTCCGGGCGGCGGCTGGGTGAACCCAAATCCGCAGCCGTCGATGACCACGACCTGGAGTACCGGAACGCCGCTTTGGACGGCTTCGCTCACGCCCATGAGCGCGTACCCGTCGGCAACGTACGTGGCCAACACGACGGCCGCGCCCTATGCCACCGACACTCGCATGGACTGCATAACGTACATTACATCGCCAATTCTGACCAATTATACCGGCAATGGTACGACAAGCCTGGCATGCGAAGATGTAGCATCGCAGTACGGCATCAGCACGTCGGACTTTGTCGACTGGAACCCGTCCCTCAACTCTTCTGATCCGTGCACCATGGCTGTAGATACCCAATACTGTGCTCAGACGTATGCAAAGGTGTCACAGAACATTGTCGGCGCATGCACAGAACTAGATATTGTGCCGGCTGGGTACGACTGTGCTGGATTTGCCAGTTCACTCGGCCTCGAGTTGGATCGATTCAAGCTCTGGAACCCCGAACTCGACAGTGACTGCTCAAACTTTAAAGTTGGTACCCAATATTGTGTTGCCGTTGCCCATTACAAACAACCCGGTATTATCTCGACTTGCAACAAATTTGCCACGCCCAACAACACCAACTGTAGGTATTCTTGACTCTAACTGTTGGGGATATATCTAAGTGGCATTTTAGGGGCACTTAACCCGTGCCAAATATTGGAAACGGAATTTGGCCTTGGCCATGCCCGCTTCGTGGCATGGAACCCGGCAGTTCTGAACAACTGTGAGTTGCATTGGTGTTCTGTTCTAGCATAATGATCTAACGAATACTTTAGGCACGGGATTATATCAAGGCTATGATTACTGCGTATCCATTCCCAACTTTACGCCCGTGTATACAACTACGACTTCTGCTACAGTCGCTGCACTTGTGGCGCAGGCAACTACCGCGTCCAGTTTGACCGACACGAGTACTTCAAATGTGGTATCCTCCACAACCTCTTTGCCCAGGAGCACCTCGACAACGGTCGCGTAGATTCACTGGCTATGACCAACCGAGCGGCTCCTATAATTAGTACAAAATGTGAAGAGTACTGTCTGAGACTAATGTCGGGTATTGAACTGGTTGTGTGCATTGGGTTCATGTCATCTAGTCACAATGAAAACTTGTCCTCAACGAACCAAAATTGTAATTACAAAGTAGTCAAAACCACTCTCTAGTACTAGTCGCGTTTCAATAGTTCCAATGCTTCGACCAAACCTCGCGCTTCAGCAATGTCTTGCGCAGTATGGCCTAGACCATCTTTCAATTTCTTGTCTGCGCCTCTCTCCAGCAGGTAGGCCATAGCCTCATGATTGCCCTTTGCAGCAGCAGCATGAAGAGCCGTCTTGGTTTCGGAGATGGGCATGGGCCCAGTTCCGGCTGCGTAATCCCGCTCAGCTCGATCTCTTGGGTCGCTGCCCAGAATATCATCAGAGCGAAGATGATTTACATCAAGGTTATGATCCAGAAGATATCTGAGCATCTCCACGCCGCCAGCGTTTCTGGCCTCGACGGCCTGAATCACCATATCGTCGGTGAGGGGTAGGGGAAACCTTGCACGTAGATACTCGACCAGCTCAGGCTGGCTGGTGGTGACTGCGGCGCGGAGTAGTGCTTCGCCATAGATGGGATTCGAGTACAAGTCCACACCTCCGTTCTGTAGAGCTTCAAACAAGGCAATGCCGTATGCTGCATCCTCGCTGCACGCGGCCTGGCCGAGGTACTCTGGCGACGCCTGCAACCATCCTGCGTTGATTAGAGGGACCAATAGGCATTCGGGGACTCGATGGCGTGTCGAGAATGGCGAAATGTGCATCTTGAACACGCACTGCTGTTCATCCGGCGGGAGGGGCAAGGTTGCATCGTAGGTGAGCTCCTTGGCCAGGTTCAGATTATTAATGCTAATTGCCGTTATGATCAAGGCTTGGCGGAAGAGCGCAGAGCCCATGATCTCTGAGCCGGGCAGCGACTGCAAGTCCTCCAGTCTGGCCGATTCCGAGGTAGCCGCAAGAAAAATGGAAAGGAGTTGGTCAACTTGACTTTGGTTAGCCGTGGCCTGATCATCCAAAAAATGAACCTTACCATGAACGATATCGGGCAGGGGCGCGGACTCGCAGAGTTTGATACAAGCCGCAACGGGCCCAAAGTCGCCCTTCCAGAACAGCTCGCCGAGGATGCGGTCGCCTAGCTCGTTGTCGTCTAGATGCAGGGCTCCGTCATGTCCGAGGTGGGCGAGACATGCCTGCAAGGCGTCCCTGGTGGAAAGATCCCCTTTCAGAACCGCCAAGGCCGCCTGACGGTAGCACATTGCCTGTGGGCTTGAGGACTCCATGCTAGCGGGGATGTTGTTCGCGTTTGCTGTAGTGGTTCTTTCTTTGGGTCGTCGATATCAGTGAAGTCAGATGCGAAAGTGACAAAGTTTGAGATTGGTCCCAAAAGTTCCTTTGCTGAGCTTAATAAAATCGTATACAATCAGGAGATTATCCAGTCAATGTCAGCCGCCAAATGTAACAGCGATATATTTATCTGATGTCAGCCGCCACTTGTGACGGTAAAGTATTGATCATGTGCAGCAGAAATCGTATAAACACCTCTTATTAATGCACTCCCATTTCACAATTCACTTAGGCAGTATTGCTTACGCAAGGATTATAGTAGATGCATATTATGCGCAACCACAAATCCTTGTTCAGGTGAACAGAACTTTTACCTTGACCCAAAATAGACGAACAACTTCACTGCTTCACAGATGCGGCATAACTCTTGGTCAGAGTCTCCGAATGCGATATGTTTTCCGAAATTCGTCGGCTAGGATACATTTTTCTTACTAATTTTAATTAAAAACTTAAAAAGAATAAACTCTTTTTTTTTTCATAAAAAGAAAAGAGAAAAAAAGAAAAGAAAAAGAAAAAGAGGGAAAAAGAGGGAAAAAGAGGGAAAAAGAGGAAAAAAGAGATTAAATTGAAGAGAATTAAAATAGAATTTAAAAAAGAAAAACAGTTTGTATCGGTAAAAATGGCTTATTTCACAGACAATCGGAACACTTGCACAACTACAGAGATGTAATGAGACCCCTTGGAGCGTAATTGATTATGTCCTGGATTATTATTCATACTCTGAATAACTTCAACGGCAAGCTGCTATCTATCAGGGTTGTTCTGTCGCTTGACATTTATCATCCCCCGCAGCGCAGCGACATTTGCCATGGTATTGCCGGCTGACCAAAGCTCTTTATCCAAACCAATCATCGTCAGGTCGCTCGTAGTTGACATTCGAGGAGCAAGTGTCTCTCTTGTGAGGACCAGGGAGTTCATCGACAGGTAAGTAATTTGCATCTCTCTTTGATAACTTCCTGATTACTGTTTGTGTGTCGAAATCGATTTCGTATTGGTCGGTGGGCTTGGCGGCATCGATCGAGACCAACATTGTTGGGGCCAACGGACCTCCAGCGTCTTTTCTTGCCTTGAGCCTCGGCCATTCCTTGGTACCCCAGATGAACTGATACTTGAACAGTCTCTGTGGTCTCATAGTCATGACATCTGGAGTAGGTCGTCAGTGATTAGTTCCTTGTATCCACAACCATCCGCGGCAGATACTCACAGACAACACCTCCACATTGACTCGCCATGGCCTCGGACATGTTCTCAAAGTATTGGAACTGTTCGCCATTGATTTCCAAAAAGTTCAACCAACTACCCTTGACATACACTTCCCAAAAGTTATATTGTGTGGGGTCGTCAGCTTGTTGGTTTGACCCAGTAACCGAGTTCTTGCCTGAAAACAGATTCTGTTCAATGCATTAGACATTCTCCACATGGGTGCTACGAATGTAAGATATTGTACACGTACCCATATGGTGTAGTACCCTTTACCGCATGCCCAATCTGTTGCAATCTTGGAAAGTCCTGGATGCTCATTGCCTCCAAGCAGTCTGCGGTCGAATTTCTCTTGGGGGTCTTCTAGCCAGCCAGGGACTGATGTATAAAATACACATTTTCCCAAAAGCTCTGGGCCTCTTTTGAGCAGCTTGCTTTCGAGATATGTCGTGCTCAGCTCTGCGATTGTACTTTTTACGGGTTCTCCATTCTGGCGCTTGAGACACCCGAGGCAACTGGCGGCTCTAAAGGCAGGATTGCTGGCATCCGATCCGGGAAAGCTACCAGGCGTGCGCTTGAAAAGGGCACCATAATGATCAAGATGGCTGGAATCGCCGACTGGGCCTCGGATGCCAAGGCCAGCTCGAACTGCAGGATCAGACCAGGAGAAATTTGCCTGGTAGTTGTCAAAGAAGACGTGATCTTCAGGGACTGTTGTTCTTCGTTGCAGCGGTTGCTTGTGTCCTTCACTGCCGAAACTTATGTCTCCTGTTGCTTTAACAACCGGAGACTTATTTCTTGGTCCCTTGATCTTTTGTCGAGCAGCATCTTGTCGACGTTGGGGAGGTCCAAAGTTCTTGCCCAACACCACTACGCAGGCCATGAAGAGGGCCAATGCCCTCAAGCACACAAGAGGCACCATTATGCTGGTTCAATGACGATGCACCAGCAGTGAGTAAAATTGACAGTCATGAACAGAAGGTCAAGAAAGGGCAAGAGTGCTAGCGAACTAGTGGGCTTTGTCAAGCAACTGAGGATGCTTTACATTTTCATATGACTTCAAATGGTTGCTCCATCTGAACCCGTCTACCCGGTATAAATTCTCGTTATTGCATCTGTGAAGGTGGACTCCTGCAAGGCCGTGAAAATTGCCTCGCTTTGCATATTTGGGACAGCTGACCCTTCATTCAGGTACATACGACAAGCGAGAACTGCGACTGTTACCTTATGATCTGAGAAATGAGTTACGGGGTACTCACGATTACACCAAGGAACTATTGAAAATCCTTCAATGCTACCGCACTTGGAACACGGTGTACCGATACTGTGTGGTCCAATTTATTGTCCCTGCAGCCCCTCGTCCCTGCAGAGCGGCGCAGCCTTTGCATCACGCGGTCAGCACCCTGATATGACCCTGACAATACTCCCATTGATCCTCGGCTCTGTATGCGTATATCGTATGATAAGGGGATTCGGGAAAAAATAGGTATGGGAATCAGACTCAGGTAAACACACCCCTGATGTGTTCTTGGCACGTCCCAAACAAATGATCTAGTATCTTGACGTTAGGCTCGCTTTCTTCTATGATGGGATTCCCAATCAGGCCGCCTTTCATTTTTCTTGACAATTTCTTTCGTGGCAACTTGGCTTGCCAACTAATTACGTTGCAAGATGGTTCGAAGACGCAGTGTCTTAATTGGCATCGCGAGTATACTCCTGCCTGGACTCTCTTATGCGCAACATCGAGACTCGCCAACTGTTTGGAATGCATCCATTAGCAGCAGCGAGCCAGCGGCATTTTCGTTGTTTCGACGGCTCGATAAGTCACGTTGCGATGCTGATAACAAATGTACGGGTGGCGAATGCTGCAATGGAAAATCGTGAGTACATGTCGTAAAGCTCGGAAGTGAAGTTCTGCATGCTAACGATAGTTGTTCGTCTTTAGTGGTTGGGTTAGTCTTGGTTGCTTTTAGTTTCCGCACCTTTTACCGTCTCGAGTGATGTGCTACTGACCGAATCGCCAATGTACCTAGTGTGGTCTAGACGACGAGCATTGTAACAAAGATGTATGCATCTCAAACTGCGACGCCAAGGCAGAATGCGGCGCCTGGGCCAAGGAACCAGGCAAAGAATGTCCGCTCCATGTCTGCTGCGGCAAATCAGGATTCTGCGGTACGACCGAGGTATGTCCAACATGCGCTTTTTCCCAGACTTTGAGGATTTCATCTTATGGTGATGTAGTCTTATTGCAGCACCGACTTGGGATGCCAGTCCAATTGCCCACAACCGCCATCGACTGGGTTGAGCAACGGCAACGTGACTAGCATTGTCATTGGGTAAGACCCGAGCGGAGTGATGATGCCTTCTGTTTACTTGATCAAGAATACAGGCTGATGTTGTACAAGCTATTATGAATCATGGGCACCATATCATCAAGGAAATTGTAAGTCATCACGTACTGTATTGTTTCTCTCGTGCTTATCAAACAAGGCCCCAAACGTCCACCAAGTTGGATCAAGACAGACTCCATCTCTCACTTGAACGTTGCTTTTGGCTACATTCAGCCCGAGACGTACGAGATTGCCCCGGACTTGTCAAGTGATGAAATCATGGACCAAATCATTCATCTGAAAGAAGATGCTCCAGGTTTGAAAATTTACATTTCGCTTGGAGGCTGGACTTACTCAGACAATGACACGTAGGTCGCGGCTCCACATGATCGCTGCCTAGGTCCTTGAGCTATAGTCAGACTGACGGATCTGCAGCGATACACAAGCAGTCTGGGGAGACCTAGCGAGCACCCCCATCAAACGTCAAAAGTTTATTTCGCAACTCGCAAATTTTATGTGTAAGTCTTTTTTTTTTTGTCGCTTTGGACGAGCGAAAAAAACGGCTCACAAGCATGCATCACATAGTACACTTTGGCTTTGATGGAGTAGACTTGGATTGGGAATATCCAGGTGCACCAGATCGCGGGTAAGAAGATGCTCTTTGCAGTCATGGTCCGTTCCGTTCAGGAGTAACTCCGTGCCTCCAGGGGTAAAGATCGAGATGTCGATAATTTCGTCGCCCTCGTGAAAGATATCAGAACATACTGGGACGCACAATCTATGGGAGTAAGTAGGATCACTTCCAGCCATCATGTGATATCTCGCAAGATGCTGACACGAACATTCAAAATAGTGGGGACTCACATTTACCGCTCCCACATCCTATTGGTACATGCGGTGGTTTGACATTGAGAATCTGGTCAAACATGTCGACTGGATAAATCTCATGACCTATGACCTTCACGGCAGTTGGGACTCGCCCGAAGACCAGATAGGCTCATATGTCTATGCACACACAAACCTAAGTGAGATCCAGGACGCCCTCAACCTGCTGTGGAGAAACAACGTGCCCGCAAACAAGGTCAACTTGGGCCTTGGCTTCTACGGGCGCTCATATACCCTTGAAGATCCTTCCTGCACTCTTCCAGGCTGCGCATTTAGCAGTGGAGGTCGCGCTGGCGCCTGCACGGGCGAGTCGGGAATCCTTTCATACAACGAAATCTCCCAAATCGCAGACTACAAAAAGGTCAAGCCCGTCAGGGATGACAAAGCTGCAGCCATGGTAATGTCAATCGTATTTCGGTGGCTTTAGAAGACTCACTGACTAACTCGGGGGCACAGTACTTTGCCTTTGATCAAGACCAATGGGTCTCGTACGATAACGCAGCAACAATCAAAGAGAAAGTCGACTTTGCCGACAAACAGGGGTTACTGGGCTTGTTTATATGGGCACTGGATCTTGACAATGATAATTATGATGCGCTCGCAGCAGTGCTAGATACTAGAGGGGGTCTCGGGACCTTTGGGCCGCAAAACGGAAAGGGGCCTGCCAATGACACGAAATGGCAGCCGTCAGTGGGTGGCTGTTACCTGGGAGAGTGTGCAAAAGATCCGTCCTGTGGTGGGGGTTACCAGAGCGTCGGGGACAAGGTTCGCTGCGACGACGAAAACGAGCACCGCTGGGTATGCTGCCCTCGAGGGAATGCTCCTGATGCTTCGACCTGTGAATGGAAAGCCTCGCTGGCATCCTGGGCAGGTGCTGCGTCTCCGCCTTGCACAAATCATTGCGATTCGGACCAGGTGACTATTGCCAAGAGCAAGTGGTTCATTGAAAAAGAAAATGATCAGGGAGACAAAAAGTGTTCGAGTGGTTTCGCAGTTTACTGCTGCAAAGCAAAAACAGACGCCAAAGAATCGTGCGGCATGATGAGCGACGAGTGTATCAGCATTGGAGACGATGGGAAGCCAAAAGGGGACGACCCCTGCTCCAAGGTCGGTCGCAAATTTGTCACATACTCCCAGGACACCTGTGCCGAGGGGTCTTGGCGACCCTGGTGTTGTGATGACTCCTTCGACAAGGGGTCGGAATGCAAATGGCAAGGCCCGGCTGGTGATGAATGGCCCTCTGAAGATTGCGAAAATGCGCGCCATTGCTCTTCGGGACAGGTACTCATTGGTGTGTCGAAAAAGGGAGGCGGCAGTGACTGCGCGCACAAGTACTATGCAAAGCCCCCGGCCAATCCAAACTGGGGCATTGGGCACCCGATGATGATGGAGCGTGCTCTCTGCTGTCCTGCGGGTGAGACAACCTTTGAGAAAAAGGCGCCGGTTCCGCTTGCCTGGCTGTTCCCAGACAAGGTTCCCGACAGCGACGTTCAGAACTGGGATCTCGAGATCGAAGCAGACGCCAGCGAGAATGAAGATCCAAACGAGAATGGGTTTGGTTGGGTCATCATGACTGGTCCCGACAAGGACATAACATCGCTCGACAAGCGTGACGGGTCACACTGGGAATTATTCGACTGCCCTGATAGAGAAACCATGGATGAGGGCGGCCGGTACACCGTTCGAGCTGTCTGTTCAGATGACACTGAAGATAGCAATTGCGATAGAATATTCCTAGGCCAGGTCGAGAGAACAGTCGTCGAGATGCCTCCCACATGTGGCATCGGTCGCCACGCCATGGCGGTGAGCATGGAGCCGGCAGAGGAGCAAGGTTTACCCCATTACCTGGTCAAGCGACTGGTCAAGAGAGGTAGTAACCTGAGCCAGCCGCCTCGCGTCTATGACTTTGTCTTTGACTATGACTTTTCCGTCTTGCACGGCAGATCCGACTCGGACGTCCAGATCCGCGTGGACTACTCGGACGACCCGCATTACTGGTCAGCATTCGTCAACCATGATCCAAACGTTCCTCCCGTCAAGCGCGACAACGTCCGGCGGTCGATGGAAGCAGAGGTCGAAAGAGACTTTGGAGGGTCATGGGTACGCTATACTAATCATCGCTATCGCAAAGAGCGCCGCGAAACGCCTGAACAGTATGCATCAACATGAAATTATTGAAAATCTTTGCTAACAAACAATTTCTAGCGAGATGGAGCACTTCAATAAACGGTACCACGGTGGCTCGGCCGCAACTTGGCGCAATGCAATGGCCATCTTGAACAATGAAGAGTTTGAACAGGAGATCACCTCACCTGTGCATCATGTCAAGGAAACTTTTCCTTTCTATCTATTCAACGAGAATCTCCAATGTACTCTTGGCGGTATTCCATTCGATGCATACTTTACCGTCTGGGCGGACCTTCATGTCGATATCCAGACGTCTGCTCAGCTGACGCTCATTGTGAGTCCCTACACCTGAATCTGGTCAGACTGGCAACTCACGCACGGCAGGGGCGACTAAATGATCTGAGCTCTTTCAAAGAATCTCACGTCCTATGTAGGTGGCAATTTCAATGCTTCATGGGAGTGATACTAACCAATGTATCTGTCAAGTTCGCAACAGAGGCTCAGTCCAAGCCGGGCTCCATATGCAGGCTCTTGCTCAGCTTCGCTTCTCGACAGGGCCTTTGGAGTTATTTGGAGCGGCCAACTTTGGAGCCGCTTTCAAGGTCCCAGGTATAGTGACTATTGGACCGAATCTTAGGGTCTTGGGGGTATGTTTTCTTAATACAAGGCATCAGCTGACAACGAAAAACTAACCAAACCTCACAGGAACTGACCGGAACCTTTACTGTTCATACGTAAGTCTGGTTGCGATTTCAGACCAAAGCGCTGTAAACAGTGACTAACATGATGACTACTAATCTAGTCAAGCGCATTATGAACTTCAAGTTTCGGATTGGGACTTTACACAGCGATATCCCAACGATGGCAACGACGTTGAGTCTGGGCTTACGGGTGGATCGCATATCGGTGATTCTCCCGGGCCCGGAGCTCAGCCTGGTAAAAATGACACCTCGTTCAGGGCAGATGTGGCCGCGTCGGGCGATTTGACGTTGAAAATGTGAGTATTTCTTGAAACGAGTCACCTGGGCTCATGAAACTGGGCCATTGGCATGCACTTTGAATCCAAAGCTGATTGTCTACAGAACACCGCTTGTCGAGTTTGGTATACGATGGGACCCAAAATTTAAAGTAGTACCAACTGCCGTTTCACTCCAGCTATACACGTAAGCAAGCCGTTCGACACGCAACTTGGCGAGGAAAATCTGACATTTGAGATGAACAGTTACGCCACCCTTTACGGTAGAGCCGGAGTTGGTACTGATACAGCACCATGTAAGTCTCGTTATTGGTCGGCAATGTCGAGGATGGTTATCACCAACCCCAATAGGGGTTTAGGCTTGAAATAATCACCACCCAAGCTCGTCACGTCGCGGTAGAGGGGCTTGGTAATTTTGGCTGACCTTTTTTCTCACCAGATGCATGTTATGGTGCAGTGTGCGGAGTAGATCTTTTTGCAAAACTCGAAGGACCGTACGTCTTCCGATACACCCATTGGGATTGAAAATCTGAGAGTTGGGCTAATCAAAAGGCACAGCACTATTTTCGGCATCAATCCGAATCGCAGGAAGAGTTTTTACAAAAATGATGTAAGTTTGCCGTGTCTCTAAAGACGTTGTCCGAGGCCGAGCGCTGACTTTCTTGATGCGCAGATCCCCATTCGGCCGGAAGAATGTGTGGACTTGCAGGCTTTTACGGGACAATAGAGTTGCTGGGATTAGAGCAAACGAGTATGCAATCGTCAAAGGTGATGTGTTCGGGTCAGGTTGAATTGAGGAAGGAGATGGCAGATCTTGCGAAAGCTGCCGATATAATACGCGCTCTCTCCCGCCCATCCTTGGTTGAGATACTCATCCTGTGCCATGATGGTGCATCACAAGTCAGGCACTACAACCGGCTTCTCTTCTAGCAAGATGTGAACAAAGATTATAGTTCTTAAACCCAGATATAATTTCTCTTTTTACTCAGTAAGCAAAAGATCTTTCTGATAACCTCTTCTTCGCCACTTTCTGCCAAGTTCCAGCTAGCCATAGGTGCTCTACACTCCAGCCGTATCTCCATCCTTCTGCGCTTGTATCCAACTGTTCAAAATATTCAGATAATGAAGATAAATATCATCAGCCCCTCGAGTAGTCCGAAGACGCTCGGTAGATTCTTGTAGAAGATCCATAGCCTCCACATATCGGCCTTTGCTTCTCCATACCAATGCCAGATTAGCCATGTTGCGTAGCGCATCTTCATGATCCGGTTCCAGTACCTCCTTGTAAAGTTCCATTAGCTCCAACTGCATTTCTTCCGCTTCGTCATATCGCTCTTGATTCGCCAATGTCGAGGACAATAAATGCATGATGTGTAGCGTCTGTGGATGCTTGAATCCTAGTGCCTCCTTGGAAATTTCCATTGCCTTCACCTGCAGTTCTTTCGCTTCTTCAAATCGGTCCTGATGTGAAAACGTCGAACCTAGATCAGCCATGCTGCGTATCGTATCTGGATGATCTTGCCCCAATACCTCCTTGCGAAGCTTCAATAATTCCACCCGCAACTCTTCCGCTTCTTCGTGTCGATCTTGGTTCGCCAGCACCGTGGCGACATTGCTCATGTTTTTTAGCGTAAGTTGATCGTTGAAACCTAGTGACTCCTTGCGAGATTTCCACAATTCAGCCTCCAGCTGCTCTGAGTCCCTCCATCGCTTTTGGTCATAGTAAATGGACGCCAGTCTATCTATACTGTCCAGCGTCTCTGGATGTTCCCGCCCCAATCTCTCCGTGAGAGCTCGCACCAGTTCCACCTGTTCTTCTTCATTAAAATCTGACATGCCCTCAGATTCTTTGCTCGAAAGATCGTACTCAAGCGAGCGGGCGGCATTATTTTCGTTGGCTTCATTGGACTGTGCCTGTTCTTCGCCGTCCGACACAAGTTTGGGGAGGGCAAATAGTGAGATTTCTTCCAAATGAGCTGCTACATGCCGAAAATAACTTTGTTTCTGAAGACTTGTCAAACATAATCTGCAAGAAAACCACTCCGTGTCATCTTTTCCACGTTCACGCAACTCGCCCAGTAGGGAAATCTGACGCGTGGTCCAGCGGCCGATATGCTCATCAGACATGTGCAGAATGAAGGCTTCTTTGTCTTCAAAGGCTTGATCGCAGTCGCTACAGTCCCACTGTCGGTGGTGCACTTGCGATTCGTGGTAGGTCCAGTCGTATCTTGTGACAAATTGTCGGTTCGGATCTGAACAGCCCCCAATAGTGCATACGTATGGTCGCAAGTCTCTAAACACATGCCGCCTGTCTTCAATCAGCGAACTGTTAGATTATTGAAAGGTCAGCCAACTTACTTCCAGCCAACTCTATTCGATATCTTGTCAGTGCTCAAACTTATGTGACAGTAAGGGCATTCAATCGTGTTCTCTCCTTCTGCGGCCAAAGGAGCGTCAGGAATCCGGAGTTTGGAGCGTCCTGAGCCTCCAAGGACGGATGGTTCGTAGACTGTTCCAGCTTCTTCCTGGTTATTGCGGTCGCGCGATTCAGGGAATATCGCTGATCGCGCGGCTGTCGAGAATGTATGGGCAGTGGTCGGTGGCTTGAATGAATCTGCATCGGTCGTGTTAAGACCAATAGGATCAGTCTTTCGGAAGGGCTTTGGCGGTTCCATATCTAGTAGCTTCTCGGCATCGTCAAGATAAGGATGTGATTCCCAATACCACAGTTGCTTGCGTCTTTTGCTGTTTGCAGCGGCGAGCCGACGACATAAATCATCCATGTCGTGCAAGGATGCATCTTCTGCATTTTGTCTCTCCATGAGTTCGTCCATAGAAATACCGGGGTCATCAGGGGCTTCCTCGGCACTCTGTTGAGTCTCATGGTCATCCGCTGCTTCTTCTTCATCGGGATCCCCGCTGGGTTTCGTTCTCCAGAAATTAATCTTTTGCCTGACATGTTGATAATCTTGTTGGTATCCCGGCAGATTTCGATATGACCTGCGAGAGTGCAAATATCTCCCTTTCAATCTTGGCTTTTGAAGCAGGGTTTTCAGACGATAAAGTTCGTTGATGTTCTCAAAGGCCATTTTAAAGTTCATGGCAACGTCAGCCGAGGGAGGTTCATCAGTTCCTGACGACGAACTTGCACTGTCGCTATCCGAAGCCTCTAGGAATTCAAGTGACGAGGGTAATGGTATACATTATATCCAATATATATTTATATTATTTTTAAATCAGTTTTATATATTATATTTAATGATCCGGAAGAATACGGTTTAAAATTAGTTTTAAATTAGTTTTTTATTATTTTACAAATCTTTAGGCCGGTTTTTGCACCTAAAATGCGATTTTAGTGCAGTTTTAGTTTATTTTTTAAAAAAAGTATGCTTTTTTTAGGGCGATTCGCCTAAAAGGGCGCCGAAGCGGCGGCGGCAAACGGTAGCGGTAAAAGCAAGATTTTTACCTAAATTTAAAATTAGTTTAAATTCGATTTAAAAGCGTATTATAAATTTATTAAGAGAATTTAAATTTATACCGCTAAAAAAGGCGGCGAATTAAAGCGTATTTACGCCTTAAAAATGCTAAATATAACGGCCGCGCGGGAAGGAACTCGGGGTATATTAGGCATTATTTAATAAATTAATAAAAAATTAAACGATTATAAACTAAATAAAAAATAATTAATAATTAGTTATCGATTAAATTTATTTTCGCTAATAAATACGACGGGCTTTTTTAAAGGAGTTTTAAACGATAATTTATTATTAGGCGGAAAACCCTTTTATTCGCTTTCCTCCTAGCCCTTATTTTTATTTTAGTGCTTAATTTAGTTTTGGTTCTAATTTTAATTTTAGTTTTAGTTTTAATTTTGGTTCTAATTTTAATTTTAGTTTTAATTTTAGTATAAAAGGAAATTAGTTATAAATTAAACTAAAACTAAACTTTAAGCGTATTATTGCAATATTATAAGGAACGGGCATAAAAAAGGGTCCTACGATAACAAAATTATTATTATTAGCAGTAGTTATAAGCTAGCGTTAAAACTGCTCGGGATTACGAAAATAGCGTTATATAAAGATATTAATTTAAAACTAGTTTTAAAATAAATAAGAAATAAACTATTATATTTTTAATATTACGCTAATTCGGTATTACCTAATATATAATTAATAGATAATATTTTAGCAAAATCCCGTTTTGCAAAATATTATAATTAATTTATTACGACGATTATATATAATAATCGGTAATAAAAAAGGCTATTTTTAAAAAAATAAATAAAAAATAAATTAAAACTAAATAAAAAATATATTATTTTTTTAGGATTTATATTCGCAATAATTTTATTAGCCTAAATTAAAATTAATTTAAATTAAGCCCAATACTAAAAATATATTTAAAAAACTTACGTTCTTTTTTTAGGGGTTATATATAATTCGATTATTACGGCGATTATCCTATATATTAAATTAATTTTTAAATAATTTTAATTTATATTTAATCGGGTTTTATGCCTAAATTAATAATTTTACTATAAATAAAATATCGTTAATTTGCAGGTTTACGGCATTTTTAGAATCGACTAATCCGGTAGCATTATAAGCGTCGTCGTTTATATCCTCGATTTAAATAAAAGGATTAATTTTAATATACTTTAAAATTAGCCTTAGTATATATAGCATTTATATCGGTATTAGCGTAATTATTATTATTAGCATTTATATCGATATTAAAATAACTATTTTTATTAGCGTTTTATATATTATAGTTATTATCGTTATTTTGCTAATAATCGTAATTATTTTATATTAAATTAATTTTAAATTAGTTTTTATGCGTATTTAATACGTATTTAATTATTTATAAAGGCATTTTTAATTTAATCTCCCTTTATAGGTATATCGTTATTATTATAATTATTATTATTATACTAATAATCGTTTAAATTTATTTATAATATATTAGTTTTAAATTAGTTTTTATGCGTATTTAGCTATTTACGAAATCGATTTTATTAGCTAAATCGCTTTTTACGGGTATATCGCTGTTATTATAGCCGTTATAATAATAGTTGGTATGGTTTTAGTCGTTATTATTTTAGTTGTTATTATTTTATAATATATTAATTTTAAATTAATTTTAATACGTATTTAATAACCTACGATATTTAAAGCTGCCTAAGCCTTAGTATATACGGGCGGTGCGCTATTATTATTTTGTTAATATGCCGGCGGAGCATTATATTTATTTTTAGGTTTATCGTTTTTATTCGATTTTTATAATAAATTAATTTTAAATTAGTTTTAAAATAAATTTAAATTATATACCTTATTATTAACTAATTTATTTGCGTTAATATATATTTAAACGATATTTAGTTAAAAAATAATTTTAAATTAGACTTTATATATACCGGATTATTAGGGAAAAGGAAATTATCGATATAAATGCTTTAATAACTATTATTCTCCTTTTCTTTGTCGTCGTCCTAGCCGCCTTTATCCTCGAACGGGTCCTCGTGGCTTACGCTATTAGTATAGTCGTTATTACTATCGCTATTAAGCAAAAAGCCGATATCGCTAATATTAAATCCGTATTTTAATTTAATTTTAGCCTATTTTTAATTAGCTTATTATTTATTTTAAATTTAATTTTGTATTAATTTAAAAGGTTAAATGCGTATATAAAAGAAACCGAAAAAAATATATTATATTAGCCGTCGATATAAACGAAAAAATCGCTTTATAATTATAAGGGATAAGGCTCGAATTCGGGATTACCTTATAATTAATATAATACGGGATATGCGCGCGCGCGTTATACGCAAAAAAGGAGGAAAAGGGGGAAAAAAGGGGGGAAAAGGAAAAATTATAAAATATAAGCGGTTTAATAATTTATTTATTATTTTAAATATATTTAGGTTAATTTTATTAAAACTAATTTAAAATCAATTTTCGTTTATTTCGTTAATAATATCTAATATATTCGAAAATTAATATTCGTTAAAATTATTTATTATAATATTAATATATAAAAAGCCAGCGTTTTCGGGCTTTATTTTATCGATATTAAATATATCGGAATTAATATCGGCATTTTTAGCAGGAAAAAGCCTAAAAACGGGTTTTAAAGGAATTATACCCTAACCGACTAATTAAAGCTCGGATAATACCTATGGGTTAATAAAATTAGTTTTTGTATGCTTTTAATTTAATTTATAACTAAATTTTAAAGCAAATTCCGACTAATTTTACCGAATATATAATATTAGCTAAGCTTTAAATATTTAGCTAAAGGCAAATTTATATATAGCGTAAAAAACGGAGCTGCCGTAATTACCTAAAACCTAGGGGGAAGCCTTAGAATTCGAGTTTAATTTCGGAATATTAAAAATAATTAAATTAATAGGCTTAAAAGGGAAAAATCGCCGGCTAGGTTTTCGCTAAAAATAAAATAACGGAAAATCGTATAAACGCGAAATAATATTTACCGCTTAATTATAATGCTTTCGCGAAAGGCTAAATATATTTAAAATAAATTATATATCTTTTTTAAATTTTTTAAACAAAATTAATTTAGGCTTATCGCCGTTACGCGCATTATTTAAAAAAGCAGCAATATTAAAAATTTATTTTTTTATAAACGGGATAATAATCGGATTTATTAAAATAGCCTTAAAATAATTTAAAATTATATTTAATATAAATAAGCGAAAGGGGGTTATATCGGGAAATAAATCGGCAATAATAAATATATAATTTTTATTTAAATACGTATTATTAAATTAGCTTAGCTCGATAAAATAAAAAATTACGGAACGCCGGCGCAAACGTTTAGCAACTAATTTTTAATTAAATAAAAACTAAATATTATTTTTAACGTTTTTTAGCTTAGGCAAATATTCGTCGGAGGAATCGAAAAAGTCGAAGGAGTCGTCGAAAATATTAAATTTTCGAGGATAAAATTTAGCGTAAGCTTAAAAAATATTAGCGGCGTTTTTTACGGTTTATTTAATAAAGCGTTAATATATATAGCTAATATAAAATATATAATAATATAATTAAAATTATATACGAAAAAATTACTAATAAAAAAAAAGCATTTATAAAACGTTTACCGGCCTTACGCCGGAATTTTTTGCTAAACCTAGCCGCAAAAGCAGGAATTTAGCGATTATATAACAATTAATTTAGGTATACTTTTAAATTATATATAATATAAATTTACGCAATAGCCTCGCATTTGTCGGCGTATTATATTAAGGGAAAAAATGCAAGGTTTTTATACGGAGTTAAAGCAATTTAAAACTAAAATTAAACTAAACTAAAACTAAATATACCCCGGCTTATGCTAAAATCGCTAACGGCGGAATTTTTTAGTTACGATTTTATATTTTATTGCCTATTAGGCTTTAAAAGCGTTTTAAATATTAATTAGTTTGCGGGCTTAATAAAATATAATATAGCCCGTATAAAATTTATAATAATATTGCTAAAGCTATACGATATTAAATTAAATTAAAAACGATTAAAAAGCGATTTAAATATAAATATATAATATTTGTATTTTAAAATATTTAGCTATAAATTAGGCCGGGTGCAATTTTAAAAAAGCAGCTGTAAATCGTAAGCCCTGGTTCGATAAAAAATTAAACCTAAATTAATTTTTATATATATATATATAAAGTAATTTTAGCCACTATTATTATTGATTAAGGTGGTGCTTTTCTATTGGAGTTTAAACTGGTCTGATATAGGTGTTAATTGTGTAATATATTAATTTATATTTTGCGCCTTTTAGTTTTAATAAGGTGTACGCTTATTTAGGTGGCCCCGGCTAATCCCCGGAAGGTTCCGTATATTTATCTAAATACTATAGGGTTAATCCGTATACTTAAATATACCTTAATATATAGGAATTATAATTTATTATTTAATATACCCTTTTAGATTTACGATTTATTATAAATTTAGCTATATTTAAATTAAAATTGCTAATTAGTAAGATATAGCTTTTTTTAGGGCTATTCGTTTTAATTACGATAGGTAACGTTAAGTCTTATTTATTATAAAAAATTTTGTTATTT